TACATGAGATATGAACGAATGCCTACATCATGACTAAGGTGTGCTGTTATCTAAAACGCTTGTGTAAACTAACCGCAAAGGTGATGACCGTGATGATGTTTGCAATATATATTACTAATAATATTTCAAGAAAAAACGACTTCCAAGTCTGTTAACTTCGAAGTGAATCACTACAGTTTCTGCCCTGAAACGTAGTTGTGTCGACTGTGTTTCTGTATCTCCATTCGGGCCACCGCTCTCCAGCTGGCGCGCAGTGAATGCCAATGAGGATGACTGACGTGAGAATTGCTGACGAAGGTGAACTGAACATAGAGGTTAGACAGAGAGAGCAGCAAAATACGACAGGCGTTAAGGAAGTTTTAGACAGCCCAATGCATTTAATTTAATTTAATTTAATTATGCACGTTGCATAATTAGGGCGGCACGGTGGCGTGATGGTTAGCACCGTTGCCTCACAGCAAGAAGGTTCCGGGTTCGATTCCGCCCAGTGGCCTTTCTGTGTGGAGTCTGCATGTTCTCCCCGTGTCTGCGTGGGTTCTCTCCGGGTTCTCCGGCTTCCTCCCACAGTCCAAAGACATGCTCTGGGGATCAGGTTAATTGGGGACTTTTAAATTGCCCGTAGTTGTGTGAATGTGAGTGTGAATAGTTGTGTGTCTCTGTGTAGCCCTGCGATTGGCTGGCGACCAATCCAGGGTGTACCCTGTCTATCGCCCAAAGTTGGCTGGGATGGACTCCAGCCCCCCCGCGACCCTGTGTGCAGGATAAGCGGTTTGACAATGGATGGATGGATGGATGGACGTTGCATAATTAATTTTACACTCATGACATCATAGAATAAAAATATTGTTAAATTATTGTGTCTTAGTTTTTTGCGTGGACTCGTGTCATCTCTGCGCACTGTTGGACTTGTTGGCAATAGAAAATACAAAGTTGTTTCGTCCTTGTCAAAATGTTGTTTTGGAGGTACATTTTTGTTAGAAACCCTCCCCGTCAGCAGAATAAATGTCAGTTTGTTGTGTTTTCCGTCGCAGGTGATAATGGACATCCAGCGGGTCTAGGAGCAGCAGCGGAACCACGCAGCCCGGTTCGCGTTCATCTCTTCGGATCGGAATCACTGCGATGACCGAGTCCTCCAAACCGCCCTCAGGGTGAGTCCTCGGGACAAACCTTACAGACACTCAGGACTGAAACGCGTCTAATCTTCTTCTGACGGTGATCACAAACTACTTCATCTTAGTTTGCCTCGGTGAAAATAAAATATGAATTCACGTTTTTCCCTCTAAAACGGATTGAATCTAAGCGAATGTTTTTCATTGATAAATAATGTGAGGTTCCCCAAAAACAACATTTACCTCCATTCCTGGCTTACGCTCTTTGTTTTTTAGTTTTATTATACGAGTTTATATCCAACAATGAGGCGTTTTCTTCAGCACAATAAAACCAGAGGAATTATGCCATTTGGGGCTTCATGCGGCAGCTGCTGCTCCGTGACAAACACTGTATAGAACCGCCTTTGCTCATTCAGATCCTTCCAGCAGATCCCCGGCGTTCTTCAGTGGCAACAGGAGTAGTGTGTGAAACACTTCCACACAGTGTTGATGAGGTAAATGAAGGTTCGCTCCATTTCTCCTCTGATCTTTCGAGTAAAGGTCCCCTGAAACAGATACTCTTAAATACTGTGATTTCAGACACTCGAGCTCTTTGGTCAAACAAATGTAATGGTAAAAATATGTTATAACATTGTCTTGTGCTAAAGCCGTGTCTCAAGTGTCCTGTATTTGACCCTGATGTGCAAAGAGCAGCATGATAAAAAAATGTTAGTTTGCAGCTGTGTCCTGAGAAGGGAGGACGGTTGACTCGATCTCATAGAGGCTTCAAAACAAAGGACTTCTCTTCATGGCCTTGGTTGATATCTTATTCTGTACGAAAGTTCTGGATCCAAGTTTTACTTTTATGTCAATTAATTATGATTTGCACCGGCCACTGAGGAGTATCTTGTGTGTGTGTGTGTGCCGCCCTCAGCTTCACCTGGATTCTTATCTCAACCTGCTGTGCAGCTTCTCGTAACTGGCACAGAGAATGTTCTTCACATGTGTATAAAAACTCAGCTTCTTTAGTGCTCGGAGACGCCATTTCCACAGAGCACCGTGATACGTGCCTGTGTATTTGACCTCCTGCTTGCAAGCAATAAATGGACTTTTTGCAACTTTGATCATTCATCAAGACTCTGTTTTATCAGACAAATCATTCTCTTCTACCGAGCTTTTATTGAAATATTCCATAACAATTTGGCGTCACGAACAGGATTCACTGACCGTCCGTCAGGCTCCAGGGGACCGTCCGGGGAAAAGGCCTTTTCCAGGATTACCAACTGATGATCCTGCCTCATACCTCCTTAGACAAGAGAGAAAGGACCGGCGGAAACCAGAGGAGTCCTGATTGACGTCACGTGTATCCAGCGAAAAAGAATTCATTTCTAAATTGAAATTCCGATTATAAAGTAACAGTAAGAGTTGAACATAACGAGACGGATGACTGATCAAGTGGTTGTTATAGTCTGGGGAATACAATTATTTTTTAACATTTTGGGTGTTTTTTGTTCTTATAATAATTTTAAAATATTTTTTTGAGTACATGATTCCGGGATATTTCTAATGCAATATTTTATGCGAAGGTAGATAGGATCGTGTACGATTTCACTCGGAACAAATTCTCCGAGATCGTAACGAAGATTGCTTGACTACCCGGGTAAAATAAGACCGTTGCTATTGAACAAACGTGAATTCCACCTGTGGAATAAGACCGTGTAAATAGCCTCCGTGAATTTTATGCTGAAGCAGGTAAAACGATATCACTGTTTTTGTTAACCAAACGTGAGTTCTACTGAATTACCTTTAGAATAAGATCATGGCAATATCGAAGCGTGAGTTTTACACTGAAAAACATTCAAAACGATATCACTGTTTTTGTTAACCAAATGTGAGTTCTACTGAATTACCTTTAGAACAAGATCGTGGCAAAATCGAAGCGTGAGTTTTGAGTGGGGTTTTTGCAAAGGTTCTCCTTGAGTTAAGATACTAAGCCTTACGGTGACGACTGTATTGTAATAAGTAAACCGGTAGGGTCCACCAGTAAAAGATGGGTGGCCAGTCCGCAAAACACACAGAACGTCGGGTCCGATTGTGGCAATGATGCAGCAGAAATACGGGAAAACATGTACAGAGTGTCTCCCATACTGGACAAAAGAGTTTGGGTTCCCAGAAAACGGCTCGTTGAGTGCCGCTAAACTTAAAATGTTAAGAGGGGATTGGAAGAAAGGTTAAAAAAAAAACCAGACATGTCTGGCACAATGGGAAATGGAATGTGAATGCAGGGACAGAAAACGAATGATGAAGAAAATGACGTGTTTAAAAACTGAAAAACCTGACATTGAAACACAGAATAATCCATGTGTGTCTTCTCCACTGTATCCATCCCTGACAGGCGCAGGCGGTCCTCTCCTGAACACGTGTTGTCAAATTCCTGCACCACCTCCAGTCCAACAATCACCACCACCGTACAACCCCGATCCTACGGTTGGCAGACCTGTAACACGCAGTCAAACCCGGCTGGGAGACCAGGGAGGTGCAGACGTCAAACCATGCTCACCCCTCAACCCATTCAGACCTGACCCCACAGCTCAGTCCACCCCGGACTCTGCATGGTCAATCCACGACCCATCCCCCTGGAGGGGCACAGCCCGGCAGAATTGTGGATTTTCTTAGTCCTAACACCACCATGGGCAGTAAACTGGATGGGTCTTATATTCAAGCCCCCATGTTTCAAGTTCCAGGGCCACAGGGTGGACTACCTGCCTCCCATCTGCCCACCATAAAAAATGGCGTGGCTTTTGGAAAAGAGTTCCTGACGTTATGCAAAGACATAACAGCCATCTGTGCTGCTGTGGTTGCGGCCTTCCCAGTAAACATGGCCCTCATCAACAGCACGAAACAAGGTAAAGCCGAAGATGTAACATTTTACTATCAGCGTCTTGTGGCTGCCTTTCAGATTCACAGCGGCCTCGAGGAGCCCACAGACATAACCAACATGACTGTGTGGGAAACTCATCTCAAGAACGCCTTCATGAACGGGCTTTTGCCAGACGTCAAAACTGCCACTGAACACTCTGTCGTGGGTCTGGAAGATGCAAGGCTCACAGAAGTGAAGGAGGACGAGACCCCCACCCATCTGGAAATTCTTATGGGAGGGACCAACAGAGAGGACGAGCGTATGGAATAAATCATGGGAGAAGAGGGCGTTTTCAAGGAGGGGCCCCACGAGAAGTGCAACCCGATGAATGCTTCCTCTGTGGCAAAACAGGACATTGGTACAAAGACTGCCCCTCCCGTTCAAACCAGGTACGTCAGCCACATGGACGACAGCGCCACTCCGGGACTGACAGAGGGGGTCAACAATTCGGCACTTCAGACTGACGGTGTGTGTGGGATGGAGATTGCACGTGTGAAGGGATGACTACTGCTGCCTAAAACAGGGAAGTGAAACACACCACACACACACACACACACACAATGCTGCAATGAAGACCTGCTTCCTCGCACGCACACTGCAGAACAACATGCTGTTTTGCTCAGCATCATTTCTCACTTAGAGCAACACCAACAGAATACATCCACACCACCACCACTCACGTATGCTATGTTTTCATCAGATGCATACAACGATATGCCAACTACAAGAGTAATTGTGGAAGGGAAAGAATTGGTGTTTTTAGTAGACTCCGGAGCTACTCATTCAGTAATTCAAGAAAAACCTTTTCCAAATCAAAAAAATGAGTGGGCGGTATGTATATTCTCAAGGGGCTTCTGGTTTGACTGTGACAGAAAAATTTACTGCACCTATGACGAGTGTACACTCTGACGAGACTGACCTAAACCCTGACATAAAAGTAAAACATTCTTTTTTACTCTCGTCACTCTGTCCCATAAATCTGATGGGCAGAGACTTGATGTGTACATGTGGTATTTGTTTGACGTCATCTCCAGACGGCCTTAAAGTGTTTAGGCGTAGATCCGCACTCCAAATGGTGCAAAAGGCTCCCTCTAATCCTCTTTTTGTGCATCAGTGGTGGATCCCGATCGATGATGCTCGGAGGCTGAGCCAGGCGAGGGGGCCCGGGTTCTCCTCTCAGAAAATTATATGACCCCCCACCTCCTTTCCCACAATGTTTTCTGAGGGTCCAGACGGCTCTTTTGAAGAGACCTTTTTTGAGGCCCCTCAATGATGCAATTGCCTGTTCTACTTTGTACTGGTCAACTTGTAAATCTGCTGTGTCTGTTTCTCTGTCTCCCACACAGAAAGAACTGTTTCAAGTTCCCGGCTCCTATCCCCATGTCTCACTGTCTAAAGGACGCCTTGACCAATGGAGGGATTTGGGACCATTTGTGGCTCAGTGAGAATCTCTCACTGACTGGGAGGAGACAATCGATCCGCTCGTTCTGCGCTCCGCCTCTACAGGGTTTCACAGAACTCACTGTGTACACTGTTGCGTATTTCTCCGCAAAACTCGACCCTGTCGCTGCAGGACTGCCACAATGTTTGCGCGCTGTGGCAGCGGCTGAAAAGGCGCTCACTGCCTCACGTGACATAGTGGGTTACGCACCACTCACTCTGCTCGTTCCGCACGCGGTTTCTTTGATTCTCCTCGAACAGAAATCATCTCACCTCTCTGCGGCTCGCTATTTGCGTTACCACACGTGTCTCCTGGACATGCCGAATGTCACTATAAACGTTTTACTAACCTTAACCCTGCATCATTACTTCCTATTCCTGGGGATGGGGAGGACCACAACTGTTTGGCTCCAAGCTCAGTGGACTCCTCGCCCTGACCTAGTGGACACTCCACTAACTAACAGCGACATGGTAATGTATGTGGATGGATCCGCCTCCCGCGATCCTCAGTCTGGTGAAAATCGTGTTGGTTTTGCTGTTGTTTCTGACTCTGGTGTGCTGTGTTCAGGTCCTCTGCCATGTCACCTCTCAGCCCAGGCAGCCGAGCTCATCGCTCTGACCGAGGCCTGTAAACTGGCTAAGGGTAAAACAGTCACAGTTCACACTGACTCTCGCTATGCGTTTGGTGTAGTACATGATTTTGTGGTGCTGTGGAAACACAGGAACTTCCTTAAATCGGACGGTAAGCCCATCCTACATCACACTCTCATTGCTGAACTGTTGGAATCCATCTTGCTACCCACAGCTATTGCTGTCTGTAAATGTGCTGCCCACACGTCCAATACGGATGATGTATATATGATGCTCGAGCAGACTCGGCTGCAAAAGCTGCTGCTCTGCTTCCGCTTCCCACTACCTGTGCTCTCATGTGCTCTGAGGAGTCAGTTCCCTCCTCTCTTACAGCGATGCAGTCACGCTCTACCCCTGATGAAAGACGGCTTTGGTCCACATCTGGCTGTGTTTACACCAACGGTATCTGGACTGGACCCGACGGCAAGTCGTGTTTACCTAAACACTATTTTGCTCATTATGCTAAGTTGACTCATGGGTTAGACCATGTGTCAAAAGGGGGAATGTTACGTGCACTTAATGAGAAGTGGTTTACAAAAGGGTTCACAGCATATGCACAAAAATTTTGTTCTGCATGTGTCACCTGTTCTACTCACAATGTAGGCGGGCCCGTGGGCGTGTCCAGCCAGGCTGCACACCCACCACCAACCCGGCCGTTTGAGCACATTATGATGGATTTTGTGGAGTTGTCTTCATCTGAAGGTAAGAAACACTGTCCAGTGATGGTGGACATGTTTTCCAAGTGGGTTGAAGTTTTTCCATCAAGCAAACAAACCACTACAACAGTAGCCAAGGCCCTAATTTCTGAAATCATTCCTCGATGGGGCATTCCTTCTAAAATATCAAGTGACAATGGTTCTCATTTTGTCAACCAGGCCATTACAGAATTAGGCGCATACCTGGGTATTGATTTAAAAACACACTGTGCATACCATCCAGCCAGTGGAGGGGCTGTGGAACGAGAAAATGGCACACTCAAAACCAAATTGGCAAAATGCTGTGCAGACACAGGTCTGCCCTGGACAAAAGCCCTGCCTCTAGTGTTGATCTACATGCGCATGAGAAAACGAACACGAAGCTACCTGAGTCCCTTTGAGATATTGTTTGGTTTTCCTCCTCACGTAGGAATCGAGGCACCGACGGCACCACTCCCTTCAACCGCATTATGCGAACATGAAATGTTAAAATATTGTGCACAACTCTCTTCTGCTCTGTCCAACATACGACAACAGATTGCAGCCGCCCTCCCAAAACCAGCTGAAGGACCACTCCACAAGCTGAAACCTGGTGACTTTGTGGTGGTGAAAGATTTCAGGAGAAAAAAACTGAAAAGCACGACGCTGGCAGGGACCATTCCAGATCCTCCTTGTCACCCAAACAGCTGTCAAAGTAGCTGAGAGGGGAACAAGAGGGTCCACGCGTCCCATTGCAAGAAGGTTCCAGTACCATGAGTGGGCTCAGGCGACCCTACCTTCACAACAGTGTCAATCAACTGACACCACCGATCCAGTGACCACGGAAAGGAGGGAGGAGGGGTTACAAAGCTTGACTTTGCAAAGGGAATAGTAATTACTTCATTACATCAAAAGCAGGAACACTAATGCACTCAGGAATTTGACTAATTGGTAGACAAAATACAAAGGACAAAATTGTAAACCCCAGTCTATTTATACAGGCCTGCTGTAGATTAAATGCCCATTACTTAAAAATGTACTTAACCATTGTTGTGGAAGAGAATAAAAAACGTCCTAGAACAACAACAAAAGGCGGTCAATTTATCTGTGTGGTCTGTCTAGACATAAGCTCTGAAAAGAGCCTCGAAACAATAAAATGGCAGCGACAAAACATCCTGGCATAGAGAAATAACAACAAATTGGAGGGTATTTTTTGACATGACCATCAAGCCACGAGATGTGCTGCTTCGATGCCCTGTGTGTCCATGTGTGGTCGAGGGGGCCCTCAGCGCTACCTGTCAATCCCCGGATAAAGAAACCTAGAGACAGTCTCTAGGTTTCTAGGAGCAGTCGGATCAGATGACAGAACTGAGAGAGCTACCACTACAAAGGACGGCATTGACAATAAATAAAAGGGCGACCAACACAGTGTGCTCCGTTACTATGTGCTCCTAAAGACCATCTCGCATCAATAAAAACACAGTCACTCTCCAAAGGGATTTGTCAAATGTATTTGAACATACGCTTGTCCCGTGCTTATGTAGCAAAGCGTTGTTCATTCTTACTTTGCAGGAGTTGAACTGTACTCTGCATAATTTTATTCTACAATCCAGGTTGGGTTATGATACACAGATGGTTAAAGAGTTAAGACGGTATCCTGATTTCAAGGTATTAATCAAAAATAAATCAATGATGATTCTTTGGAAGTTGTTACAGCTGGCGGATATTTAGGAAAAGCAAACCGTATACTAGAAAGATGCAATGTCAGTGTAAAACTATAATCACATCTGCACTTTACAGTATTAGCATCAATCCCACATTTCTCCCACAACAAACAGTAGATAAAGAATATGCAAATGTGATCTATAAACCGTTTCAAATCGGACATGTATACTGTTTACTGCTTACACAGTAAATATTGTTGTCTTAAATTGCCCCGTTTGATTGCCAACTAATATTTGAGGGTTGTGCCGCTTAGTATCAGATATGTCTGACTCAGCTGCTGTATGTGTTTATGACACCTTTTCCTCTATCTTACCACCACATGACCTATCACAGCGTCAGGCATTGGTGTTGTTAAAAAGAGGATGTCATAATACATTGTACATTCCTTTTCCATAAAAGGATCTAGATTAAGGCTGCAATAGTAATAAAACTATATCAATTAGTTACTTTTACTAGGTAGCACATTGACATATACAGGCCAAATGATTGCATAAGTTCATCAAAAGAGAACGAGAATGTTGTTCTGAACTAAGGAGGCCTCCCTGATTTTACGCCCCAAATGAGAGAAGCTCATTAGGGACAGAGGGCACCAGCAGGACAGCCTTCCTCTGGCACAAAGCTTGTCCTGGGCCTGGGAATAGGACACTTGGACGAGGCCCCACTGGCACAGCAACCAAAACAGACGTGGTCCCAGGCCGCGTGTCTGGTCAGCAAACACTAAATTCCCAAAACACAGAGATTACGTTTGTGCTTGTGTGTCCTCTCACCTGCCGTCCTCAGTTACTGAAGTCTGGTTTCCCCGCGGCAGGGTCAGCTGTAAATCCACAGTGGGCCTCAGCATGTTCTCCTTGGTGTCCATGGCCGATGTCCCTCCCCCATCAGGACCAACGTTTCTAAATATGTGGCGTGGGGCGGGCAGAGGGGCCTGCGGCGGAGCCGGGGCACGTGCCTTCATTCTCCTCCTGGGACAGACACAGAATAATGTTTTTTTCACGTGGGACTTTTAGTACCGTTTGTTTGAGAAATAAAAAAGGTTATTTATTTAATGTGTTGTACAACCATCACGACGTAATCAAGAAGAACGTGCTTTGGTGAAAGGAAAGGTCTTGATGAAGTCAAGTAAACAATGAATCATTGCTTTATTCATCTGGTGTAATATGTCCACATTCTGAGTCACTTTTATTGATTCATTTTTTTATTCTTGTCTGTCTGACCAGTTTCGGTTGCTAAGCACAACAGGTTCACGGGTCCAACCCACTGCTGCCTGCTCAGCAGAGGCCTCCACGGGGACTTTGTTCTGTCTTTCTGTTTCCGTTTGTGGCACAACATTTCAATCCACTTTCTTTACTAAACAGTTCACAGATATGCTGAGCTGGTGGTTGTCAAGCTGATCCACCATTGAGCAGCTGCTTTTTCAATCTGTTCCTAACACCACACCAAGCACCCGTACTTCAAAAAAATACTTACGGGTCAGTCTGCTTTTAAAAGAGCGTTAATTTAACAGGATCCCCTCATCCAATCGTATTCCACTCAACGAGTAATACTAAAATGTAGACATATGGTTGACTGTCGTTGACTGAAGCCATCTCATCATATTAAGAGTTTTAGCCCCCTAGTAAAAAAAACATCTTTGCAGTTAAGCAGAAATCTGGTTGTCTCAGGTGCACAGCAGGATTAATGGGCTGTGGACACTCTCTGGAATCTCTGTGAAAATTGCGAAACAACTGATGATGAAAACCACACGCGACTGTCCAACCTCAACTCCTGCGGGGGGAAGTGTGGCAAAGTGTGGCATATGTCAATGACATGCGGGCGCCAAGATGCTGCTATCTGCCCACTGGGCTCAGATGTAAACTGCACTTGGCCTGACACACGCAGCTGATTAGACAGAAATCAAGCACTTCATTCTGCCAACAAAGAGCTTTTTACCGCACGCGTTTCGGTATATACACTAGCCCAAGATAAGAAAAAGAAAAACATCCACCCACCTCACGCGTTGTGTATGTCAGGCTGTTTAATGTAAATCCAGCTGCAGGGATGAGCCACAGTGTGAGAGAAATGTGCTTGTTAGATCCAGCTCTGTATTATCCAGTATCCTTCATGGTTCTCCTGCCCAGTGTGAAGAAGGCCAGGAGAGCACAGTGAGCGGACTCTAACCTGGCCCCGAGTTAACCATTAACAGCTACATCGGCTGTCATCTAACTCTCACCCACAGTCCCATGGTGTCATTGACTCAATGTAGGATGGGAGTGACAGCTCTGACAGCGTTAATCATAATGGAGTCAAGAGACTATGAACACAATGCAGATCATTTCTAATCGCACAGCTGCAAGCTGCTCCGACTAAATAAATGCACCTGGAAATAAACAGAGAAGGAAGTGAGCACCTGGGAGACCTGCAAACGGGAGAAATGTATTCTGAAAGGTAAACAGAACTGGGCTCTGTGAATCTGTGGGACTGGGACCGGGCCAAGCTGAACACAGTCAGCTAGTATCCTTCTCTCCCTTCAGCCTGCAGTCTCTCTCCCTCTCTCTCTCTCTCCCTCTCTCTCTCTAACATGCACAAAGACTCCTTTAGGAGAAGCCGCGCGTCTCCCACAGAGTAAGGATGAGCGGGCGCAAACAGAGAGAGAAAGGGTGAGGGAGTAAGGGAGGAAACCCTGCTCCGGCACAGGGGGGCAGTAAGTGCTGAGGTGCTACAGGGACAGAGTTACAAATGAGCTCTCTCTCACACACACACACACACACACACACACACACACACACAGCTGCTTATGGAGGCAGATAACTGGGAACATTTACCTTTTGGACGGCGGCCGTTAACTTACTGGTCATGATGACGGTGGAGATATGATCGAGCGTGAGAGAAAAGCTTAAAGCTGCCAGAGCTGATTAAAATAAGACGGGGCCGTATTTGATCAAATACAGACTCAGAGTAAACGAGATCTATAATCTCACCAAGTGTAACTTTTGCTCTTTGTCAACACGGCATAATCAATTATAACCTTACCTGTGAGGGTAGATTACGGCCTGTATGCAGCCTACGAGTCATCCTGTGTTGCCGTCTGTCTGGTTAACAGATTTGTGTCCGTGTGTGTGTGCAAGTGCATTTACAGAGGGTGCGTGTAGGTACAGCTACCTCCTTCCCGATTCTCTCCCGATCAAGTCATTTGGGATAAATCAATCCTGGACGTGAGAGAAGGACCATGTCTGTCCAGGGAATAAGATAAATGTGATTATAAGACAAATTAAAACACTACTTGGAAGTAGTGTTACTTTGGAAAATGGGTCAGATGATTGCAGGGTGTGTGCAACAATAAAATGCCCCTCAAATTACCGGTTTGGCCAGAGCACTGTAGACACAGGGCTAAAGGGACTATAATGCAAATCCAAGAACGTCAGTCAGGTGACTGTTTGTTGACAAGCTTAATTACATAACACTGCTCAGACACTGGAGACGACCATGTCTGTGGTCATACCTGCAATGCAATGGTACAGAATGCTACCAATGAGAAAACAAGGTCCGCAGTGGAAATGAGTAAACCTACCAGCATTAAAGCAGCAGACAGAACTACAGCAATGAAGTCAGAACGTCAATCAGAGAGACAAACAGGCAGACGTGTCCGGTGTCGGAGACATGGACATCCAGTCAGATGAAGGGTTTCTTTGGTGTGAGACAATAGGGTCTCTACAACAATGAGCCACTATCCTCTAATGAAGACAACCGATGTAGTAGACTGGTCAAAAACACAGCGCAGACTGACCTACATTGCTTATGACACGCTTTTGCATTCTGAGGATGCAAACAACGGATGAAACCAAAGCTCTGAGGCACATGATCGATGAGTGTATGATGTGCACGTATGTGCAATGTTTGATTAATACAAACACTGCATAAGAATGTTTTTCTGCTGTACTGACATCAAGGTCAAAGGCTGGTTGTCTCCAACGCACACAAACGCAGGCTACGTTACAATACAGTACGCTACAACGTACCGTACCATATGTTGTGTCTCTGTTGCTCTATAACTTTACTTTAACTGTAGTTTGAGCAGTAAGCAGAAGGGCGGCTGTCAATAACAAGGTTGATCCCTGACCTCAGGTCCTAAAGTCTAACAGCCCTTGAGCAAGACATTGAAACTAGATGTTCAATCATACTAATGCACATAATTCTCAAAGAAATATGTGATTGGAGCTGTAAAGAAAATCAACCTCCATTTCAAAAGATTATGGCTCCATTTTGTAACACTGCTGACCAATTAGAAAGAACTTCAAAACTTTGAATATTTTGCCGACACATCAATAGAAACACAAACAAAGTAGGAATGTTGTATCCCTGAGCGCCACTTAATAATACCACACCCACTACTGGAGTGTTAACCTCCCACGATGCATTGGGAACAGTGTGAATGATACACATCCTGGACCCAGGAGTCACTCCCCTGACACTCACAGTCCTGATACCTTGCCAGCATTCCCCTCCGGTGTCACGGTGTGCCCATGGCAACCTATATTTATACGACTGGACTGCTCGAGAGTGCAGACCTCAGTTTAGTAGCAGCTGTCGATTTGGGGGGAATGCACGCGGTGATCCAGAGAAAGAGAGGCAGAAATGAGCGGGAACAAAATCCTGGGGGAGTACAGAAAGGGAGCGGGACGACTGCTTTGAGCGGCGTGTACTTTAATGTGAGTATCGGAGACATGTGAGCCCACCAAAACATTTGTTTACAGTTGCTAGGCACTGCTAATTCAACAAATGCCTTGTTGCTCATATTACCAACCATGTGGTGACAATGACAGTCCGACCCTCTCTATCCACACAGAGGTGGTCCAGCACAGTCCTGCTGAGTCCATCCTTCCACACTAAGAGTTTTAACGTAACCCAACGTTTCAGCAGTGTGCTACATGTTTATGGCCTGGTCATTTTTATTATTAGCAATTCTCAAAAATGTTCCCCAAAATATTTCTCATCAGATTTTTGGGTTAAATTTGAGTTAGCTAGTGCCAATTAAAATGACATAATCGCTTATCAAATGATCGCAATAAATGATTTAATTACAATATGATTCCATTGAAAGATAATCAAATATCATATTGAATTCATACACAGTGTTTGGTTCTGGCATTTAAAATAAAAATATACTACTCTTGGAATGGTTTAACCTGGTTTCCAGATTATAAAGTGAGGACTTTACTAACTTGAACAACCAGGTTAGAGCTCAGCGAGTCCTGAGTCAGTAGCAGCAAGATAAGAACCCAAGGGAGGTAAAAAAAAGAGACAACACCACACCTCAGGTGCTTAATGAACGGTTACTCTTAGGGATCAATTAGGTTGCTCACACTCCTTCCAGTTATTTCAAGGTGATCCAACAGAGTATCTGTTTCACACCTAAAGCAGAGAAATCACTCCACCACGTCAGCTCCTCCTCGCCTGACACATGTAGTCGTCTTGTCCTCTCGTGACCGGTGACACAGAGCCACGCTGCGGCAGTTTAATGCAAGACATAATTTAGAGACAACAATAATTCTCCCAAAATAGGAGCAGGAACAGAGGCGTGCCTCCTCTGTCTGACAGCTGGAAAAAAATACGGTCAATCTTTCCTCTGGAAATCGTACTTGACCGAGAAGTAAACCTACTCTCTCTTTAGAACGTCAGTCGTTTCAAGACATTTAGCCTGTCACATCTCCTCCAGATGTCCTTTGAGGGACTGTGGTGGATCAATGCAGTGGCGTCTGGAAAAGGAGAGTTGTGTTTTCTTGGACATTCATAGAAAAACAAGTATTCTTAATATTTATTACATACTGTGTGAAAAAAAGAATAAATCTCCATTGAAGTAATGACACCAATGACCCAATTTATTTTGCAGCGCATGTTGATCAGTTCATCAGTCGAGTTTGATCATCTGACATCTCAAATCCACCACCCACAATGTCAAAGCAACATCCCAGTGCTTTCCCAATGGATACATGTATTCTGATCGAATGACTGAGTCGCATGAGTGTTTAAAGAATACGTACGGTTTGTTATAAGCACAACAAGAAATGAGCACACGAGATGAACGCTTTGCACCAGCTGGGACAGCGGAGGAGGAACAGAGGGAAAGAGGAAAGCGCGATGAGGACGGCTGGCTGGTTGGTGAGAGGGACGACTGAGAGAATCTCAGGTGGCACGAAGCCCCGCGGGGCCGGAGAGCAACCAGAGGGGGGAATAGAAAAGGAGAGATGGGCGGAGTCCAACGTCAAAGAACAACGGAAGGAGTCGGAATGTAGAGGCAGAACGGCAGGAAATAATAATTAGTCTGTTCACTATTCCCTAAGCTGCGTGTTCAATTAGAGAGAGCTACTAGGGAAACGAGTAAAAGCCATTATGTTACAGATAAACAGCTTTAAAAACACTGCACGATGCCTTGATTGGAAGGAAAACATCGATATCATCTATATCTATAAATATTTTTTTTGCAGAAAAGGGCTACAAATACAGTGTTTCTTTAGCTAATGGGAAGACATTTGTAGCGCTCATTGATGCCATTTTCATAAATAGACCACGAGCAAAACCATGGCAACTTGTGCGATAGAAAGTGCACGGCTCCACCTCGGCCTTATCAGGCCATACCGCTGCTCTGGCAAGTCAGCTGGCCGCACACACAGAGACACACAAACACGCGCGTCTGCCTCTCTGACAAACCCGCATACCACGATGACTAACATATGACTGCAGGCCTCCTGAAATAAATCCGAGCCGCCCGTGACAGCTGCTTAACAGCACGCAGAGATGCACTCTAGAACAGAACCACCTTACAGGAGACACTTGAGACTGACACACAGCCATACAGACCAGCGGGGGGCGGCGGGGAGGGGGGGGGGGGGTCGGCCCACGTTTTCCTCCAGCGAGGAGGGAGGTTGGCAGATAGCAGAGAAAAAAGGTGAGACGCTGTATAGTGGGGAATAAGGTAGACAACCATCTAAAAATAGAGCCAGTCGAGATGTCTCCGATGTATCACGGGGCGGCTTGGGAGTAAATGTACTCAGCGCCGCTCTGATTTCCAAGGCGTCCCTACTTAACCACACTAGACCGCCACTAATACACAGGGTGTGTTGTTATAAAATGTGAGTGATTGAGCCACTTTAAGTGGTTAATTTAAAAACTACTTTGTCTTTAGAAATTGTTCATGGAACAAAGTACAACAATCATACACTTTACTAGTCTGTCTTATAGTATATTTAAGTATATTTCGACCATGCACTGACTCCTTATACAGTGTGCTTTTTGATCTAATGGATTCAGTGTGCACTTTGGTAAAGCTTCTATCTGCACAGAACGAGCTTGTGGAAGCAATGCATCCACACCCTCTCTATTTATAGCACGCGTGATAGAGATATAGCAGATATTACCAGATACATGGCAAAAACCCGTAGCCTCAAGTGCTCTCTCCCTTGCCCGTTAAATTGAACCGATAAAAAAAAATAGCCCTTTACCCCCAGATGTGAACCTCTAATCCAAAAGTGAGTACAGTATAGCCTTCCTTTGAGAGAGAGGAAAGCTGGAGCTCCCTTAGTCAGCAGGGCTGAGCTCGTGGCTGACCACAGGAGCCATAATCGTCTAATTGGGATTTCTTTGCGAAAAGAAACGGTGGGGATCCTGTTTCTGCATCCGTCTCTAAATCTCCCAACATCTGAGTCACCCGGCTGGAAAAGGAACAGCCCCAAGCGATCGCGTTATCTTATCAAATACATCGTGTCTGCCTGGTAATACTGTAGGAGACGGTCTGGATTGACAGACACACATGGCATTCAAATACTTTCAACATTCAAAGGGTGAGTCTGACATTTCAGGCCAGTGGGCACAGCTTCACATCAATGAGCATGTACACTGCAGCTAGCAACTGCTGTGCAAACAGTACAGTTGGTAGGCAGTAATTACCTCTGGGTGTGTGCTGAGCTGAGGACAGTTATTTGTAATCCCGTGCTGTATTTATCTGTAAAAATATGCCAGCCTGGTCTTCCTGTGGGTACGTTTCAAGACTGAATAGAAGCAAAAAGTGACGGCAACACAAACGACGGATGGCGCTCAAATAAAATGTGCGACCTACCAGCAGTCAGGCAGGTGTCAGCACAGATTTGGGATGTTTTTAATTTGTTCTTACAGCAGCAAATGTGTTTCTCTACAAAAAACTGAACCATGTGACCAAAGTGCACTCGCACACAAGGTAGAGACGCCACACAGGCGTGTGTGTCCAGGAAAACAAACAGGGAAAAGACAAACACTCCATTAGGTTAAGTAGAATTCTAGTAGAGTTTTTTAGAGCGGTTACGTCTCATTCTCGTTCTGTTTACGTCTGTTGCTTCCTTATTGATTTAGCATTGGATTCTAAAATTACGAGCATTTAACAAAACCCAATTAATCAGAGGCTTCTGGACTAAAGCTCACTAAAGACACAAACAAGCATGCAGAAGTACTTAAACAGCTGGTCTGGACATAAAGCAGAGCAACATGGAGGATGCTGCAGACTTTAGGAAAAAGCAATACAATAAACACCATACGTGATGCTTGGACTCACAGAAAGCAACAGAAATGTGATTAGGTTCAAGTCAGAGGCATTTCAGGAAAAATATTTTGACGACGATACTTGGAGGCAAGCTGCCAGGGCCACATTTGTGAGCAATACACTCACTAGGAGGAAGTTGCCTTTTGTTTTCCATGCTCAATGACAGGCTTATAATACTCACAGCAACTGAATTAAAGCTTCTTTTCCACCAGCTCACACTCGGGCTTCCCAAAACTAACACACTCACACATACACGCACACAACTCAGATTTCAACGTCTATGTACGAACGAAAACCACTTTCCTCCAAGCACGTCTCTTCCTCAGTCGTCAGGTGAATGACTATGATGTGTGTGTGTGTGTGTCTGCGAACATGTAGTTTTTATGAGCTGTGTGTCATAGAGACGGGGCTGTGTAGATACTCTCTGTGTGATGACGAAAGAGCGCCGTCAACACAAAGGCAGTTGTCATGGTAATTTATATGGTCAGAAATTTCACACACTGACTGGACAAAGGGGCATTTTGGGTCCACTGCCAGCGGACTCTGTGACCAGTTTACTTTGTTGTTTGACCAAAGAGCTCGAGTGTCTGAAATCACAGTATTTAAGAGTATCTGTTTCAGGGGACCTTTACTCGAAAGATCAGAGGAGAAATGGAGCGAACCTTCATTTACCTCATCAACACTGTGTGGAAGTGTTTCACACACTACTCCTGTTGCCACTGAAGAACGCCCATGTTTACTGTCTACAGCAGTGCTACAGTACGGATGGAGTAGTTCAGAGCGTCCCGAAGAGCTAGTGCACGATAGCTAAGAAGGTGTGAGTCAAAAGGACAGACGCCAATTTTTAAACAATAATTAGAAGGTAAACTTCAAGATTGATGAGGTCAGCGACTTGTGGCTCTATGGTGCCCAACTTTTATGAATAAACTACCAAGACCTCACAACTCTACCTTGATTTAGTTGTAAAACAATTCCATAAGTTTATTGCAATTTAAAAAATCGAATCTGTAATCCTTTTATCAGTGAGAACACGAAAACTGATGAATAAACTCAAACAAAGAGTTGCACAAGCCAAAAATTAACTTCAGCCACTTCATTTACAATTTACAAACCCTCAAATCTACTAAAAGCTGCAATGAACAAGTCACATGTTCCAATGCACGTATGTTCCCCGTAGACAAAAAGAGGTGAATAAACATATCACAGCGGTGGAACAATTACACAGAGCTACAAGCACACTGCGGAGAGCCTACAGGTGGTGTTGGTGTTGTTGTTGTTGTTGTTGATGCCCGGGCCTCTCCACTAGAAAGCAGGTGCACAGTGAGCAGCAGTACAGTCAGTGCGTGCAGGGGACCCGCAGCATGCAAACAGGCAGCGGGGATCTGCTGGAAGGATCTGAATGAGCAAAGGCGGTTCTATACAGTGTTTGTCACGGAGCAGCAGCTGCCGCATGAAGCCCCGAAATGGCATAATTCCTCTGGTTTTATTGTGCTGAAGAAAACGCCTCATTGTTGGATATAAACTCGTATAATAAAACTAAAAAACAAAGAGCGTAAGCCAGGAATGGAGGTAAATGTTGTTTTTGGGGAACCACACATTATTTATCAATGAAAAACATTCGCTTAGATTCAATCCGTTTTAGAGGGAAAAACGTGAATTCATATTTTATTTTCACCGAGGCAAACTAAGATGAAGTAGTTTGTGATCACCGTCAGAAGAAGATTAGACGCGTTTCAGTCCTGAGTGTCTGTAAGGTTTGTCCCGAGGACTCACCCTGAGGGCGGTTTGGAGGACTCGGTCATCGCAGTGATTCCGATCCGAAGAGATGAACGCGAACCGTGCTGCGTGGTTCCGCTGCTGCTCCTAGACCCGCTGGATGTCCATTATCACCTGCGACGGAAAACACAACAAACTGACATTTATTCTGCTGACGGGGAGGGTTTCTAACAAAAATGTACCTCCAAAACAACATTTTGACAAGGACGAAACAACTTTGTATTTTCTATTGCCAACAAGTCCAACAGTGGGCAGAGATGACACGAGTCCACGCAAAAAAAACTAAGACACAATTCTCGATACAATGTTCAGTGTTTTAGGTCCAACTCACTCAAGTGAAACTGTCTCACTGAGTCATTATCTTGGACGGAGTTACTTGTCAAATCCACTTGTTATAATCTTCGCCGTGCCTGCGACTGACTTTCCCTCCAGCATCGTCACTACAATTTAATCACTGGATCAGACCTCCGGTGTGACCTTTCACAATAAGAGACTTATTTACCTCGAGCAGACTAGTCTGAACACGAAGGACGCACAACAAAATTAATTGTACACCACCGACACATTGGATACTACGTAACACAGCTGTGAGACAATATTTATATTCTATAATGTCATGAGTGTAAAATGAATCATGCAACGTGCATAATTAAATTAAATTAAATGCATTTGGGCTGTCTAAAACTTCCTTAACGCCTGTCTTTTATTTTGAAGGCAAAGATTTGTCATTTCCTGTATTTTGCTGCTCTCTCTGTCTAACTTCTATGTTCAGTTCACCTTCGTCAGCAATTCTCACGTCAGTCATCCTCATTGGCATTCACTGCGCGCCAGCTGGAGAGCGGTGGCCCGAATGGAGATACAGAAACACAGTCGACACAACTACGTTTCAGGGCAGAAACTGTAGTGATTCACTTCGAAGTTAACAGACTTGGAAGTCGTTTTTTCTTGAAATATTATTAGTAATATATTTTGCAAACATCATCACCGTCATCACCTTTGTGGTTAGTTTACACAAGCTTTTTAGATAACAGCACACCTTAGTCATGATGTAGGCATTCGTTCATATCTCATGTAAATTCTATGATGAGAATTCAAATATTTTCTCCCAGCGTGCTTTGTGCTTTCGTGCTCATGCAACATCTCCGTGCAAAGCTGATGTATGATTCTCCACCACAAGAGGTCACCTATCGACCACTCTAACCCTTTCCTGCACACCATTCTTCTGCGAATCCTTCTGGTTTGGTGCTCCATATAGGGCTTGTTCATGGGATGTTATAATAAGGTCACAATAACTAGAAAATGGTCCGTGTACTTTTCGATAGTCCCATTTACCGTAAAAAACAGAACTTTTGAAAGTCTACTGCTAAAACCAGAAAACGAAAACACTCTTTTCTCGTTTTTAATCAAAAACGGGAGAATGGAAGTGGACAGCCGTTTTCTCGTTTTTCATTTAGAACCAAAAAACGAGACAAACTGACAACTTTTTACTCCGTTTATCCATTTGGGGGTTAAACGAAAATACGAAGCGGAGCCGCTAAACCGGAAGTACGTCAATTTTCACAGTAAGAATCAACGCAATGGGACGTTTATGATATAACTCCTTTTTTGCAGTGATGTAGTCACTACTGTTGCTAACACATCCCGTTGGACCAGGATTATCTGTTTATAATAATGAACGAACTTTTCTCCTAATGTTACCCTGGTAACCGTATGCACGGGCGGATTTCTATCATAAACGTCCCATTGCGTTGACTCTTACTGTGAAAATCGACGTACTTTCGGTTTAGCTGCTCCGCTACGTATTTTCGTTTTATGGGCCAATTCCCCAGGCCAGAATGAATTAATGAGTAAAAAGTTGTCAGTTTGTCTTTTTGTTCTAAATGAAAAACGAGGAAACGGCTGTCCACTTCTGTTCTCCCGTTTTTGGTTAAAAACGAGAAAAGAGTGTTTTTGCTGTCTGGTTTTAGCAGTAAAAGGGACTATCAAAAGGTACACGGACCCTACACGTATTTCTTCGGTCCCATTTCCTGCAGAAAATGGGTTGGAATGCTGAAAGATGAAATGTATTGCTGAAAATACAGAAATGGGAAAAGCTGAAATGAATTTCAAAGAATTAATGAAAATACAGAAGTGGAAGAAGCTGAAGTGAATTTCAATAGATTTGCTGAAAATACATAAGTGTAAAATGTATTTTTTGTAGTATTAGAAGTAGTATTAGTTATAGTTGTAATTGTAGTACTAGTAGCAGAGTCACAAGTAGTTGTAGTAGTGATATTAGTTGTTGAAGTATCAATAGCAGTATTAATACTAGTAGTGCATTTTACAGTAGTAAGAGTTCAGTTGCTGAATCAGTTGCCATGTCACTACTATTGGTAGTAATAGTATTTCACTACTAGTAGTATTAGTGGTAGTAAGAGTCATTTTAGCATTAATACCAGTTGAAATACTAGTAGTAGCAATGTTAGTAGAATTATCAGTTGTAGTAGTACTAGAGGCCCATCTAGGACATTGTGGTGGCTGCTCCCTGTGTCAGGATCTGTTCAGAGAGCAACACTGGTTTCACTTCACTGTAGTTGACGTTGTGCAGACAAGTTGGGTTTCTTCCCTTACAGATGTCACATGAGTGTCGGTGACAGCATTCTTTGACACCGTGGCCTGGCTTTAAGTTGTCTCTGTATGGAGAAGATGACGTTTCTCTCTTGGTGACTCCGTTAAGTGTAGGGCTTGAAAGGAGGTTATTGGATTACAGGCAATCTCTGCTTCCATTTCCAAGAAAGTGACAAAATCCTTGAAGTTTGGAAATTCCTGCGTGTGCGGAAATTACTTCCGCATTTCTGATTCATTGCTGCTCGTTAATAGGGGAGCACAGACGCTGAGAGGGTTGGTTCTTACGTATTCCTACATTTTCAGGCCGTCGTGTCCATAAAGATCCGGACCAAGAAACAAGGAGCCCAGAGGTGCAGTGACTGACTATAGCTGATAAGACGAGGCGTCACTGAGATATCAGCATGGCAGGTGATTACATTTTGACTGCTGTAACGTTACTTGTACTGCATATATGAAGATCATTGTAATATCGTTGTTGAAGAATTGAATTTGTAATACTGTCATCTTAATATGACGGTCAGTTGTAAGTCTTGTAAGCACTGTATGCAATATACTTCTTTTTTTGGAAGTATACATTTTTTATGTTTCCATTAAGAGGTGTGCTTCAGATATAAGAGGTTACATTTACTTGACACATTTTACAAATGTAGTACATAGGAATGACTGCTGAATAGAATATGTATTTGTACAACAAATAACAAGAAAATGAATTACGGTTGTAGCACCTGCGGCTGAATTATGGGCTGGAATCTTAAACTGATGGTCCATGAGTCTTTTAATGAGCGCATCGTAAGAGAAAAATAAACATGAACACTGATTAGCATCTTACACAGAACAGAAAAACATAATAACTTAAAACAATATAATGAACTTGAACAGGAACTAACCTTGTGCCCATGTCAATCGAGTGCTAAACTAATAAAACCGTAACCCTTTTCTGTGTTTTGATATCCTTTTAATGTCTTTTTAAAATCTTTTTGTTATTGCATGATGTGTAGCCTATGTGTGGATGATTGTAATATCGTTGTTAAAAATACGGGTCGTCAAAGGCGCCGGGGTAGAGAGGGTGCGCTGGGAACCGCAAGGTTGGTGGTGTTACGACCCCCGGTCTTGTCTGTGTTCTGTGTGTGTGATAACCCTCCTCAGGTGGAGCTAATTGTCTTCATTACTCATCCGCCCTCCCGTGATCTCCTACAGCTGGTTCCTGTTTTCCCATCCTCCAATCGCATCGTCCCATCAGCTGTATTTATGTGTTTCTGGTTGTTCAGTCCAGATCTCTCAGGCAGGGTGTAAGGTTGTGTTTGGGGTGCTCTTGTGAAATTGGTTGTACATGGTGGAGTGTTTTGGATTATTGAAAGTGTTAATCATTTGTATTTCGTGTGTCCTTCCCAGGGAGAACGGAAAGCACTTGGGAGTGTTAGGAAAGACGCCCTGGGCATACATCACCCGTAGGGATATCTCCTGTTATACACACCAGGTTAGATCTGAGCGATCCACCCCCTGTATTTTTGGTTAGGGCGCCTTGCTCGAGCGCCAGAGTAAATAAGTGTTTTGTGTAGGACGTTGGGACAGGTAAGGGGTGGGGATTTTGCTAATTTCTTTGTTTTGGATCAGCTCAGCCGTCCTCCCATTTCCCTCTATTGATTATTATTATTATTATTATTATTATTATTATTATTATTATTATTATTATTATTATTTATTATTATTAAACTGGCACGTGCTAGCCTGTTTAAACCAAACCCTGGCTAGTTGGTGTGATTACTTGCGCCCACACCCGGTCTCTGGCCGTCTGGGGTTCTTGGCAGCGCGGTGTACGTTCCCCTCCCCTCACGGGGTGCTGTACGTGCGTAACAGGTGGTTAGAGCCCTGGCTGCTACATGTCCCATGTCGAAGTGTCCCTGAGCAAGACACCTAACCCCTAATTGCTTCCCGAGCAAAAATGTAAAAAGCCATGGGTTGAAAATACAATAAGTCGCTTTGGATAAAAGCATCAGCTAAATGACCTGTAATGTAAAATATAACACTGGCATCTTAATACAATGTGGTAAACCCAAACAATGTATGCAGTATACTTCAAATCTAATACTGCACTCTCTCAGCTGTCCTTTACAACGATAAACAAAAATATATTCTCAACTGAAGTAACTTCAATTTAAATATTCGAAACTAGGTCTAAAATAGTTGTTTACATGTGTTACGTCCCTAAAGTGTCTACGGGTGGAGGACGTAAACAAGTTAATATAATAAACCCGGGAGATCTGGATCAATGGCAAAACAAGGATATTTAATGAAGGAAAACAACACAACTGAAAACAATCTCCAAAGGAAGGTACAGAAGGTACAGCGTATGGCTTCTTCGTTACTGGCTCCCAAAACGTCAGCACGTCGCAACCTCTCTGGTTCCGCTCTGGCTTCCACTGAAGCAACCCCCCCTCTGGCTTGGCACAGCCATTTAATCCCCTTCTGATCAGCTGCAGGAGTGACGTCGCCAGCACACCTGAAGGAAATCACACCCACTCTCACTCACACACACACACACGCAAACACAAACAAGGCACGTAAACACATGGAACACATTTTTGATGATGCAAGGTGGCTTTTCATGTAGTCTTTTAATCGTTTTGTCTACCTTTTCTATACTCAGTTAGCAAATGACCTAGGATAATATCCTTTATATAAAAATAAATCCTAGTTATAATTTACTAGGATTTACCCAAATTTCTCTCTTAGTGACAATTAGTGGCAATCTATGGATTTAATTTTGGTTTGGACTACATATAGATTTGGTCCATTTTATTTTATTCATTCGGTTTTGTTTGTCTTGTGGTATCCAACTCTGATATTTCTGCCTTCACACTAACGTGGGGGAGTGGGATTTTGTTGTTGCTGATCACGTTATTAACAAATGGCATTTACAGTAGCCAAGTTCAGTGAACAACCAAATAACTCACTGTGAGCTGCCTTCATTGGACATTTTGTCTACCTCTAATGAAATTGAATACAATTCTACATATTCCATCCTTTACCTCCATTAACAGCGAGTGTTTAACTACAACCTCTCGATTTAATGGAGGCTGGATTGAGTCCATCCTAATGTGAAAGGACTCAATCTAAAAAAAGTTAAGATAACGTGTTGTGTTTTTTTTATCTTTGTCTGCAGATTATGCAGAAAATGTCAGCGAAGAGTATGATTATTCAGACTATTATGAAGACAACACCAACAATAACAGTCCTTACAGCATCACCGCTCTGAGGGATTTTGGCAAGGTCTTTCTGCCCACCTTCTACAGTCTGGTTTTCGTCCTTGGCGTCATAGGTATGAGTGTGTTTGTGAGCGACACCCTTTCTTTACATACACTAAATGATACTCTGGAATACTAAACCATGTGCTCCGCCCCCTCTCAAGGCAATGGTTTAGTGGTGTGCGTCCTGGTGAAGCACCGCCACAAGACCAACTTAACAGACATGTGCCTCTTCAACCTGGCTGTCTCCGACCTCGTCTTTGTCTTCACGTTGCCTTTCTACTCTCACTACTCCGTGGTGGGTGAATGGCCTTTTGGAGACTTCCTCTGCCGCTTCGCCTCTGGCTCACACACCACTGGGTTTTTAAGCAGCATCTTCTTTATGGTTGTCATGACGCTGGACCGCTACATGGTCATCATGCACGCTCACAAGGTGGCACAATATCGCACTTTTAGGGCAGGCATCGCTCTGACCGCCTTTGTTTGGACGATGAGTTTGTGCTTCTCCCTGCCGGCCGTCTTCTTTACGAAGGTGACGAACGAGTCCACCGGAGTTGCCTGCAGCTACGAACCAGAAAACGATGCCTGGAGGCTCTATGACATCATCATGAAGAATGTATTGGGCCTTGGGATTCCACTGTTGGTGATGATAGTTTGCTACTCCAGGATCATCCCCATACTGCTGAACATGAGGAGCACCAAGAAGCACCGCGTTGTCAAGCTGATCATCTCCATAGTGATCGCCTTTTTCATGTTCTGGGCCCCATATAACATTTCCATTCTCTTGGAGTTTCTGAACTTGTCGACCGATTGCAACTCATACCAAAGTCTTAAGCTGTCGATAATAGTGACCGAGACCATTGCTTACTCTCACTGCTGCCTGAATCCCATCATCTACGCCTTTGTGGGACAGAAGTTCGTGAGACGAGTATTGCAGATGTTGAAGAAATGTGGCTGCGGGCAGTGCTGTAGTGGTAAAATTAGAGGTGGGTAAACTCTGAATTTTGTGATCATACAGACCTCGACGCGATGCGAAGCAACGCAACACAAAGCGTCGCGACTCTTGTAAGGCTGTCCTGGCTATATTGCATTATGTTATCAGTAAAAGACATATACAATCAATGACAATGAATACATGTGTTAGTAGTTTGTAGTTTATTAAATTTAAGAAAACAGTAAAGAAAAGTATGTCAACACAACACAATAACACAATTGCAGATTAAGAACTATCTACATATTATACTATATACTATATCAAATATTGTCTGACATGAAACCGGTCCGTGAGGTAAAAAGCTATTTCCAAAATTCTAGAGGTGCGTAAATGGCATTTACGTGCGTTTTTACCCTCCACTAAAGCTCTGGCTGTGGGTTTCTCCCCTCTACAAGAGAAAATAGCTCACACAGGAAAAGCTCAGTTATGTCCAGGTCCTCTGATGCCACCACCAATTTCATCATGTAGGAGGTGGATGGTAGATTATTTTTTATGGACATGGCTTACAGGGTTGATACATTTTGCTCTGCTTAGTGTTATTACTGAGTACAATATTGGCATTGTTCCTGCTGTAAGATCTGTTCGGTCTCATCAGTTTTAGTCATCAGCATTGTCTAAGCTGAAAACGCTGCATGTATGTGTGTATGTCATCTTTATCTTTTTTTTTCTTCTATCTTTAGACCGTTGGATTTTTACTTTCATTGTGTTGTGTGTATCATAACTTGTTAGATGTGTAGTGCCATCAAGTGTGAGCCGATGAGTATCAGAATCTCTTCATGATGTCAGGTCATTTCTTTTTAAAGGTTTTTAATGCCCCTCCTTTTCCTGCTTAACAATTGACTGTAAACCATGAACCTTTTGTTTACTATTTTCTCAATTTGGTTTCATGCCTCACATTTTTACCATTTATTAACTTGTTTTTATTATTTCTTGTGTCTTTATTTCGGGAACATAGTTGTCCCAGTTATATTACTTTAATGTCAGCGTTATTTGCAAACAATCTAAAATTAACTCCTATTTCAGCTTTATGCTTAATCTTTTCTTGTTTGTTTGTTTTATTTTTTTGGTATAGTAGTTTAGAGTTCCATCTCTAAAGAGTACCCAATTATGATGATGTTAAATTGTGATTTTTCTTCTTGCACGCAACAAATCTAAAGCACAACACAACTTTTTTTAATTTAATAAAAAAGTTATGCGCCATAATGACTTGAGTGTCTTCTATAGGAAAGTACTTCCACCATGTTCATTGTTTGTGTAGTAAATAGTAGTAACCTTCTCTTAGTACAGATATAATGAGACATCTATGGGACAGTAGAATAGTCATTTTTCATTTAATATTTAACTGAGAATATGTTTAAAGGGGAATTTGGGATAGTCACAATTTAAACCCTCGCTGACCAATAACTACTTTAACAAAGTGTTGCTAAAGGGCATTTTTCTCATAATAAAGTAAGCATAATAAAAAATATAGTTAAACTGAGTTATTTATATAGTGAAATGTCTATCCCGATGAGCTGAATGCCTTTCACAAACCTTTATATCACCCGTGATGTGTTTTTACAAGAAAAAGACAAAGCTCCTGACTAGAATACATGTTACTCTTTCATGCTGCATGTTAACACAGAGGGAAGAGTTCTCAGAAAAGCACGCTGACACCTTTGTGCAGAGGAAGCAGCAAAACCAAGAGTTCATCGTAGCAGAAATGAGCCGTGCAACAGGATTTGACTGAAAAAATTAGCTTTGGAAGTTGACAGGAAGTTTGATGCTTGGCAAGGCAGCAAACATATTCGGGAGCAGTGACTGTGGCAGACAATGCGGTAAGCACAAGAACATTTACACTTTTACACGTTTAGCTACTTTTTTTCAAAGTGACTTACATTGCATTTACATTACATGTCCTTAAAGCTGATGCATTTGCATTGCATTACATTTTAACGTAAAAATCAGACATGAGACCGTGTAGGAAAATAACGTGTATATTTTAATGGACGTTGAATGAGACAAAGAATACCCAGCATTCAGTGCAGGTTCACAGTTTTCATTGTGGATGCCCCGTAGGAACAAACTTAATACCAATACACAACAGTTTACATGCGTAACCTAACCCACATAGTGGGAGCAGTGTGCTAGGGGTTGGGTGTCTTTCTCAAGTACACTTCGACATGGGACATTTCTGGGTTCGAACCGCCAACACACCCTCTCTACTCCATGCGCTACAGTCACCTGCCAAAACATTGCAATGAACACCACAGGTGTTAGAACATGAACAGACTAACATCTGATCATAGTATTGATCAACATTTATGTAATATTCTGATAAATATCAGTGCTATTTAATTTATTTTCATGGTTGCTCACAACGAGCGAGGGGTTCGTAAATTGCGGCACGGCCCTGCTAATTCCACATACGGAGGTACGAAAGGTACGATAAGTTTCATTATGAGCTCCAACTAAAGCGCGCCAACGGTTAGAGACAAAGAGTGCACTCAAAAGAAACTTAGGCAGTTGAGAAAAGGGAAAACTATACCCCGGGGTTCTATATTTTTATTTTCTATATTCTTTGTTTCTCTATTGAGAAAGGTTAGGATGTGTGTTTTCTGCAGTTTCCAATACACTTTCTAAAACTGAGATCCTGTGTTGGTTTTATTGATTTGTGTTTATTCTTGAAGGTTTATAAAAGGGTTACAGGTCAAGTGCATCACTCTATGGTTTCCAACTTAAAGGTGCGGATCATACATTACCCTAGACTGGTATTCACACTTTGAAATGTGACTTTTACCATAAAACGTTTGATAAGAGTTAAGGCCCAATCTTCAAGCATAAGGTGGGTTTTAATTCACGAGCCGGTGGTAAAAGGGTTACATTTAAATTGCATAAGATGTGTGTGTGACGAACACTGATAGTAATGTTTTTGACTTCAGAGATTTCATCTTCTCACGTTCATCTTGCAAACATAAAACTATAACGTAGATATAAAATTTTGCAATCAAGTAAATTGGACAGCCAGCCCATATCATTTTTTGAGTGCACCTCCAAACCAAAACAGATATTAAAACAAGAATGTGATAATCTGAGACCGACCATGTGCTGGAGGTGGCGTAAATATAAAAAACCTGATGACCTGGGCCCTGTTCCTCGTACGTGGCTAACTGAGTTAGCCGGATAATTTTCAGGATGAGATGACGTAGATCAGGCTTTTCGGTTCCCCGAAGCAGGTTTGTCTAAATCACCATAGCAACACATCGAAAAACTTGAACCTGCTCCGGGGCAGCTAGGTTCATTTGAGCTGCTGGATTAGTTCATCACTCCCCTGGAAAAAAAGGGCAGCTCTTCCTCATTGATGAAGGAGCGATATCAGTTAGATGAACGTTTTATAGGGAGAAACTTCTCCGAGATCACAAAGACCCGTTTAGCCGCGATGACGTCCCGTACGAGCGCTACAGATGCTGAGGACAGGGAATCATTTATTTACAAGATTTCCCCCAGCCGAGCGTCCACTGTCCCGCAGACTGTCTCCCATACTGTCCCACGGACTGTCTCCCACTGTCTCTCATACTCTCTCACACACTGTCTGACACACTGGCTCTCATACAGGAGTAAATCAATGTGTTTGTTTCCTTTGCCTGTGTTTTCCCCTGTGTCGGAAGGAGGTGTGGTCTCCGCCTGTTCATCCCCGGAGGGTGTGGCCTGGAACAGCTGACGGCAATCAGCCATCAGGGGACGCCCACATCAACCCGGGTCTTCCTGCCATTCAGCGCCGATCGCTCCGACGTCAGAGTGGCAAACTACCTATTCAGGCCATCTGGCTGCTCACTGTGGATTAGATGCTGTCTTTGTTCAGCTTTTTCTGTTTTTGCCCTAGTGCTCGAAGGTTCCTACCTGCCGGTAGTGATGGCAAAGTGAAGCTCTCCAGCCAATTGTATCGGAAAAATATTCATTCATTCAATGCATCGCAAACTCATGATGACCTCTGCTGTTAAAAACCTATAGTGCAAATGTATCGAATGGCCTACCAGTATAGTTTGGCCCAGTCTCTGTGGGTTGAACATGATTCTGAAAAGTTGAACCAATAAATCATCTAATAAATACATGGATTCCTATATGAATAAAACTATTGTTTTTTAGGTTTGAATTGTGTCCTTGTTTGTGTATTTGAATTCTCTGTACATTGGCAAGAAGTGGAACAAAAACGTATCTATGTCTTTCTGCACCTTTGTGCCTGTATGTTTGTGATCATAATAGCAAGAGAATTAATAGAAGATAGATTATATATAGTATAGAGTTATATGTAAGCAATATAATTTAAATTCCCAGCAAGTGCTTCCTACTGCATGTGCAGTTCATGGCAGTCATAGGGACTTATGTGAATTGTTTGAATCTGGAATGTGGGAAGTGATTTACAGAGGAAAGGTCAGTGGGGCAGTGATTGTGCTTTTGGACAGGTTTGTTATGACAAGATATTGAGGTGCTTGTTGACACAAGGGATGGGGCATGAAATTATTATTGATTTTTATTGAGAAACACAATTTTCTCCACAGTATTGGGGTTGAGTTGGTTTCTTTTTGTAGATACTATTTCCCCTGCCTTAGAAAAAACACGCTCACACGGCACGGATGAGGCAGGAATGCTGAACAGATTACGTGCTAATAGAAATAGATGTGGGTACACATGTTTGTGTTTGACCCAATATTTTATATTTCATAATATTTCACTCCGTGGAATGTTTGGCTCAGCCAAATATCTGGTGGTCTCCACAATAAAAATAAACATCCATAATTACACAATACAAATGACAGACTTTGCCTGCCTATTGCCAACTTGTTAGAGGAAATCCAATTGAAGTGCAGTAAATGTAAATGTAAATTTGCTCTTTGCTCTACAACAACACTGACTTTGACTGTATCAAACAGACAAGCCCGAACCCTGTTTCGAGCCCATTTGAATCAAATCGAAACGGTCACGTGACTGTGTGCCGGAACGAAGCTTCAGACGTCACTGATCAGCAGCGAACGAACCAAGCACTGATATATTTGCGTCGCCTTGCACTGGTTCATATATTTTGTATATATGTCTAAATAAACATCTTATTTTCAAGTCAGAAGAACCTCCCTGTGACTCCTGTGTGCTGCGCTTGGGCCCACGCCCATCTACCTCACCTCAACAATCAATCTCATTGTGGAAATTGTAAGTAAAACTCTTTTCTCTGATTTAATACCTTTCCTTTCATAACATGTTCACTCAACTTAATGTCTCATGTTCTTTTCCTTCTCACACAGCATCATGAACAAATCAGAGAACGAGTCCTATCTGGATTATGATTACAATGACACCTGCGATGAGGTTCAAGGTCCAGAATTGCGGATCCACGGCCTTTCTGGTTCTTTACTACCTGCTGTTTTTCTTCAGTCTGCTGGGTATGTTAAAAAAGAGAATGTAACAGAGAAACAAACATGTGTCACCCTCTTTCCATATTTAAATGCACATTTTTATTTGAGATGTTTAGGAGATTTCAAAGAATCACAATTGTATTCTTTTCTATAAGAACGTTTTGGCTATGGCCTCTTTGTGAGATGTGACTAATGGCTACTCGCCTGCTCAAAGCATCGCGCGTATCGTCCAGTCAGTGGTTAGTTGGAAAAATACCTAATAAACTAATAAACTGCAACTTTAAAAGGAGCTTGACAACGAAAAAACAGAAGGAAGAACCCCGTTATGTAAGGTAACATGTATGTTATTTTGGACACTTGGCTTTTTCAAAGTGTTTGGAATGATATCATTTCTGCCAAACAAAAAGTATTTAATATAATACTAATACTTACATTATTCACAAAAACAAAGAACAACTTTAATATTAGCACAAACTATGGACTATGATATTGCAAAACTCTATTCGCTAACATCCACGCCCTGAGATGTTGATGAGGAACTGAATTGTTCTCACTTCTTTTAAAACAGTATTTCTGTACAAGAGGCTGACTCAAATCCATGCACAACAATTCATTCAGCTGAACTACAGAAAACTGAGAGTGCCGATTTTTTTCCTTCAGGAAGATCAGCCTTTTTTTCCCTTCCCTGAAAGGGTTACCATGGCCATACCCGTGTCTGTTATTGTTGCTTCCAGTGGAATAAGTCAGAGTCCAACTATAGAAGACTTAACAAGGTAAGATTAAACTTCTGTAGCCTCTACATATGATACGATGTGAGCATGTCATTTCTATTACTGAACATATCTAAAATATGTTCTTCTGAATTGTGGTGTAAAAACGTACATTCTTTGTTTAGTGTGAATATTACATTTGCATTTCACTTCTCATAGCTAGTGTTATGGAGAATATGTATATTTCCATCTATCTTGAGAAATATTATTGTAGATCCAATACACTGAGCTGAAATAAAGAAAACATACTAATCATTTTTTTCCATTGCAAAAAGAAAGGGTGGAAAGTCTTTGTCACGGCAACAAATGTGTTTTCCTACAAAAGACTGACTCATATGACTTAAGTAGACTCGCACCAGACACAAGGTTGAGACGTCAAACAGGCGTGTGTGTCCAGGAAAACAAACAGGGAAAGGACAAATTCTCCATTACGTTAAGTAAAAGACAAAATAAGAAAGGGATCCTGGGAATTTTTAGAGCGGTTACGTCTCATTCTCGTTTTGTTTACGTCTGTTGCTTCTTCATTGCTTTAGCATTAGATGCTACAACTAAGAGAATTTAACAAAACCAAATTCCAGAGGCTTCTGCACTAAAGCTCACTAAAGACACAAACAAGCAAGCAGAAGTACTTAAACAGCTGGTCTGGACATGAAGCAGAGCAACATGGAGGATGCTGCAGACTTTAGGCAAGGCAAGGCAATTTTATTTGCATAGTGCTTTTCATACACAAGGCAGACTCAAAGTGCTTCACATCATAACATTTCATACAATAAAGGGAAATAAAATGCAGGAATTAAAAGACAATTAAAAACAGCAAATAAAATTATAAATTAAAATCTTATTTAAATTGTTTATTTAAAGACAGAGGTTAAAAGTGCAATGTAGATAAAATTTAGCAGAAGGCAAAGCTGAACATAAAAGTTTTCAGTCTTGTTTTAAACGTGGTCAGAGTTGGAGCTTTAGGAAAAAGCAATACAATAATCACCATACGTGATGCTTGGACTCACAGAAAGCAACAGAAATGTGATTAGGTTCAAGTCAGAGGCATTTCAGGAAAAATATTTTGACGACGATATTTGGAGGCAAGCTGCCAGGGCCACATTTGTGAGCAATACACTCACTAGGAGGAAGTTGCCTTAAGTTGCCAAAGTTTTTATGAGCTGTGTGTCATAGAGACGGGGCTGTGTAGATACTCTCTGTGTGATGACGAAAGAGCGCCGTCAACACAAAGGCAGTTGTCATGGTAATTTATATGGTCAGAAATTTCACACACTGACTGGACAAAGGGGCATTTTGGGTCCTCTGCCAGCGGACTCTGTGACCAGTTTACTTTGTTGTGCTATGGAATATTTCAATAAAAGCTCGGTAGAAGAGAATGATTTGTCTGATAAAACAGAGTCTTGATGAATGATCAAAGTTGCAAAAAGTCCATTTATTGCTTGCAAGCAGGAGGTCAAATACACAGGCACGTATCACGGTGCTCTGTGGAAATGGCGTCTCCGAGCACTAAAGAAGCTGAGTTTTTATACACATGTGAAGAACATTCTCTGTGCCAGCTACGAGAAGCTGCAAAGCAGGTTGAGATAAGAATCCAGGTGAAGCTGAGGGCAGCACACACACACACACACACAAGATACTCCTCAGTGGCCGGTGCAAATCATAATTAATTGACATAAAAGTTAAACTTGGATCCAGAACTTTCGTACAGAATAAGATATCAACCAAGGCCATGAAGAGAAGTCCTTTGTTTTGAAGCTTCTATGAGATCGAGTCAACTGTCCTCCCTTCTCAGGACACAGCTGCAAACTAACATTTTGTATCATGCTGCTCTTTGCACATCAGGGTCAAATACAGGACACTTGAGACACGGCTTTAGCACAAAACAATGTTATAACATATTTTTACCATTACATTCCACTCTTTTGATTATTCTTTAATCACACATAATATTGCAAAAAAAAATATGTTTTTGTGAGACCATGTCTCGTGTTTAGCAAGCAAATGTAAACCACTCTTTAGATAGCTGATTACAAAATCACAAAAAGATACTTAGATAATGAAACTGAAGCAAGCAATAATATGAATAAAACCCTAGTGACACAAACGACTACTATGTGGAGGGGTCCTGGCCGTGTTCTTCTTCTTGTGTTGGTCCGCAGGTACACGTTGGGATGTGGAGTCTGCCAACCTTCTTTCTTGTGAGGCCTCCGCTTTGTAGACAGTCAACACAGATCACAATGCACTGTGTGTCTGTCGGCCAACTGCCCGTCCGTGGTCACTGGATCGGTGGTGTCGGTTGATTGACACTTGTTGTGGGGGTAGGGTCGCCTGAGCCCACTGATGGTACTGGAACCTTCTTGCAATGGGACGCGTGGACCCAAGTTGCCCTTTCAGCTACTTTGACAGCTGTTTGGGTGACAAGGAGAATCTGGAATGGTCCCTGCCAGCGTCGTGCTTTTCAGTTTTTTTCTCCTGAAGTCCTTCACCACCACAAAGTCACCAGGTTTCAGCTTGTGGAGTGGTCCTTCAGCTGGTTTTGGGAGGGCGGCTGCAACCTGTTGTCGTATGTTAGACAGAGCAGAAGAGAGTTGTGCACAATATTTTAACATTTCATGTTCGCATAATGCGGTTGAAGGGAGTGGTGCCGTCGGTGCCTCGGTTCCTACGTGAGGAGGAAAACCAAACAATATCTCAAAGGGACTCAGGTAGCTTCGTGTTCGTTTTCTCATGCGCATGTAGATCAACACTAGAGGCAGGGCTTTTGTCCAGGGCAGACCTGTGTCTGCACAGCATTTTGTCAATTTGGTTTTGAGTGTGCCATTTTCTCGTTCCACAGCCCCTCCACTGGCTGGATGGTATGCACAGTGTGTTTTTAAATCAATACCCAGGTATGCGCCTAATTCTGTAATGGCCTGGTTGACAAAATGAGAACCATTGTCACTTGATATTTTAGAAGGAATGCCCCATCGAGGAATGATTTCAGAAATTAGGGCCTTGGCTACTGTTGTAGTGGTTTGTTTGCTTGATGGAAAAACTTCAACCCACTTGGAAAACATGTCCACCATCACTGGACAGTGTTTCTTACCTTCAGATGAAGACAACTCCACAAAATCCATCATAATGTGCTCAAACGGCCGGGTTGGTGGTGGGTGTGCAGCCTGGCTGGACACGCCCACGGGCCCGCCTACATTGTGAGTAGAACAGGTGACACATGCAGAACAAAATTTTTGTGCATATGCTGTGAACCCTTTTGTAAACCACGTCTCATTAAGTGCACGTAACATTCCCCCTTTTGACACATGGTCTAACCCATGAGTCAACTTAGCATAATGAGCAAAATAGTGTTTAGGTAAACACGACTTGCCGTCGGGTCCAGTCCGGAGACCGTTGGTGTAAACACAGCCAGATGTGGACCAAAGCCGTCTTTCATCAGGGGTAGAGAGTGACTGCATCGCTGTAAGAGAGGAGGGAACTGACTCCTCAGAGCACATGAGAGCACAGGTAGTGGGAAGCGGAAGCAGAGCAGCAGCTTTTGCAGCCGAGTCTGCTCGAGCATCATATATACATCATCCGTATTGGACGTGTGGGCTGCACATTTACAGACAGCAATACCTGTGGGTAGCAAGATGGATTCCAACAGTTCAGCAATGAGAGTGTGGTGTAGGATGGGCTTACCATCCGATTTAAGGAAGTTCCTGTGTTTCCACAGCACCACAAAATCATGTACTACACCAAACGCATAGCGAGAGTCAGTGTGAACTGTGACTGTTTTACCCTTAGCCAGTTTACAGGCCTCGGTCAGAGCGATGAGCTCGGCTGCCTGGGCTGAGAGGTGACATGGCAGAGGACCTGAACACAGCACACCAGAGTCAGAAACAACAGCAAAACCAACACGATTTTCACCAGACTGAGGATCGCGGGAGGCGGATCCATCCACATACATTACCATGTCGCTGTTAGTTAGTGGAGTGTCCACTAGGTCAGGGCGAGGAGTCCACTGAGCTTGGAGCCAAACAGTTGTGGTCCTCCCCATCCCCAGGAATAGGAAGTAATGATGCAGGGTTAAGGTTAGTAAAACGTTTATAGTGACATTCGGCATGTCCAGGAGACACGTGTGGTAACGCAAATAGCGAGCCGCAGAGAGGTGAGATGATTTCTGTTCGAGGAGAATCAAAGAAACCGCGTGCGGAACGAGCAGAGTGAGTGGTGCGTAACCCACTATGTCACGTGAGGCAGTGAGCGCCTTTTCAGCCGCTGCCACAGCGCGCAAACATTGTGGCAGTCCTGCAGCGACAGGGTCGAGTTTTGCGGAGAAATACGCAACAATGTACACAGTGAGTTCTGTGAAACCCTGCGCTCCGCCGAACGAGCGGATCGATTGTCTCCTCCCAGTCAGTGACAGATTCACACTGAGCCACAAATGGTCCCAAATCCCTCCATTGGTCAAGGCGTCCTTTAGACAGTGAGACATGGGGATAGGAGCCGGGAACTTGAAACAGTTCTTTCTGTGTGGGAGACAGAGAAACAGACACACCAGATTTACAAGTTGACCAGTACAAAGTAGAACAGGCAATTGCATCATTGAGGGCCTCAAAAAATGTCTCTTCAAAAGAGCCGCCTGGACCCTCTGAGACACATGTTGTGCAATGCAGGTGTGCAGGGTTCATACGTCTGCATGAGGAGAAACCCGTGCTTCACCAGCCTGGCTCAGCCTCCGAGCATCATCGATCGGGATCCACCACTGATACACAAAAAGAGGATTAGAGGGAGCCTTTTGCACCATTTGGAGTGCGGATCTACGCCTAACCACTTTAAGGCCGTCTGGAAATGACGTCAAACAAATGACGACCATTTCGGCGCAAGGACAGCGAAGAGTCGAGATCTAGTTGAGTGTTTTGCTCTCAGTGAGGGAGGGACGAGTAGTTTTGCAGATGCAGAGCGGAGAGTGCGGGTTGGGATGTAGGGTTTCACCATGTCCTGGATGTAAGCTGGACCTGATCCATTCACAGCATGGTACGTGAGCACCAATGTTTTGAACTGGATGCGGGCGGCCACCGGTAGCCAGTGAAGAGAGCGGAGGAGTGGAGTAGTGTGGGAGAATTTCGGAAGGTTGAAGACCAGTCGAGCTGGTGCATTCTGAATGAGCTGCAGAGGTCGAATGGCGGTGGCAGGGAGACCTGCCAGGAGGGAGTTGCAGTAGTCAAGTCATCAAGTCTCTGCCCATCAGATTTATGGGACAGAGTGACGAGAGTAAAAAAGAATGTTTTACTTTTATGTCAGGGTTTAGGTCAGTCTCGTCAGAGTGTACACTCGTCATAGGTGCAGTAAATTTTTCTGTCACAGTCAAACCAGAAGCCCCTTGAGAAATATACATACCGCCCACTAATTTTTTGATTTGGAAAATGTTTTTCTTGAATTACTGAATGAGTAGTCTACTAAAAACACCAATTATTTCCCTTCCACAATTACTCTCGTAGTTGGCATATCGTTGTATGCATCTGATGAAAACATAGCATACGTGAGTGGTGGTGGTGTGGATGTATTCTGTTGCTGTTGCTCTAAGTGAGAAATGATGCTGAGCAAAACAGCATGTTGTTCTGTAGTGTGCGTGCGAGGAAGCAGGTCTTCATTGCAGCATTGTGTGTGTGTGTGTGTGTGTGTGTGTGTGTGTGTGTGGTGTGTTTCACTTCCCTGTTTTAGGCAGCAGTAGTCATCCCTTCACACGTGCAATCTCCATCCCACACACACCGTCAGTCTGAAGTGCCGAATTGTTGACCCCCTCTGTCAGTCCCGGAGTGGCGTTGTCGTCCATGTGGCTGAAGTACCTGGTTTGAACGGTAGGGGCAGTCTTTGTACCAATGTCCTGTTTTGCCACAGAGGAAGCATTCATCGGGTTGCACTTCTCGTGGGGCCCCTCCTTGAAAACGCCCTCTTCTCCCATGATTTATTCCATACGGTCGTCCTCTCTGTTGGTCCCTCCCATAAGAATTTCCAGATGGGTGGGGGTCTCGTCCTCCTTCACTTCTGTGAGCCTTGCATCTTCCAGATCCACGACAGAGTGTTCAGTGGCAGTTTTGACGTCTGGCAGAAGCCCGTTCATGAAGGCGTTCTTGAGATGAGTTTCCCACACAGTCATGTTGGTTATGTCTGTGGGCTCCTCGAGGCCGATGTGAATCTGAAAGGCAGCCACAAGACGCTGATAGTAAAATGTTACATCTTCGGCTTTACCTTGTTTCGTGCTGTTGATGAGGGCCATGTTTACTGGGAAGGCCGCAACCACAGCAGCACAGATGGCTGTTATGTCTTTGCATAACGTCAGGAACTCTTTTCCAAAAGCCACGCCATTTTTTATGGTGGGCAGATGGGAGGGAGGTAGTCCACCCTGTGGCCCTGGAACTTGAAACATGGGGGCTTGAATATAAGACCCGTCCAGTTTACTGTCCATGGTGGTGTTAGGACTAAGAAAATCCACAATTCTGCCGGCTGTGCCCCTCCAGGGGGATGGGTCGTGGATTGACCATGCAGAGTCCGGGGTGGACTGAGCTGTGGGGTCAGGTCTGAATGGGTTGAGGGGTGAGCATGATTTGACGTCTGCACCTCCCTGGTCTCCCAGCCGGGTTTGACTGCGTGTTACAGGTCTGCCAACCGTAGGATCGGGGTTGTACGGTGGTGGTGATTGTTGGACTGGAGGTGGTGCAGGAATTTGACAACACGTGTTCAGGAGAGGACCGCCTGCCCCTGTCAGGGATGGATACAGTGGAGAAGACACACATGGATTATTCTGTGTTTCAATGTCAGGTTTTTCAGTTTTTAAACACGTCATTTTCTTCATCATTCGTTTTCTCTCCCTGCATTCACATTCCATTTCCCATTGTGCCAGACATGTCTGGTTTTTTTTTTAACCTTTCTTCCAAATCCCCTCTTAACATTTTAAGTTTAGCGGCACTCAACGAGCCGTTTTCTGGGAACCCAAACTCTTTTGTCCAGTATGGGAGACACTCTGTACATGTTTTCCCGTATTTCTGCTGCATCATTGCCACAATCGGACCCGACGTTCTGTGTGTTTTGCGGACTGGCCACCCATCTTTTACTGGTGGACCCTACCGGTTTACTTATTACAATACAGTCGTCACCGTAAGGCTTAGTTTCTTTACTCAAGGCAGAACTTTGCCAAAAACCCCACTCAAAACTCACGCTTCGATTTTGCCACGATCTTGTTCTAAAGGTAATTCAGTAGAACTCACATTTGGTTAACAAAAACAGTGATATCGTTTTGAATGTTTTTCAGTGTAAAACTCACGCTTCGATATTGCCATGATCTTATTCCACAGGTGGAATTCACGTTTGTTCAATAGCAACGGTCTTATTTTACCCGGGTAGTCAAGCAATCTTCGTTACGATCTCGGAGAATTTGTTCCGAGTGAAATCGTACACGATCCTATCTACCTTCGCATAAAATATTGCATTAGAAATATCCCGGAATCATGTACTCAAAAAAATATTTAAAAATTATTATAAGAACAAAAAACACCCAAAATGTTAAAAAATAATTGTATTCCCCAGACTATAACAACCACTTGATCAGTCATCCGTCTCGTTATGTTCAACTCTTACTGTTACTTTATAATCGGAATTTCAACTTAGAAATTAATTCTTTTTCGCTGGATACACGTGACGTCAATCAGGACTCCTCTGGTTTCCGCCGGTCCTTTCTCTCTTGTCTAAGGAGGTATGAGGCAGGATCATCAGTTGGTAATCCTGGAAAAGGCCTTTTTCCCGGACGGTCCCCTGGAGCCTGACGGACGGTCAGTGAATCCTGTTCGTGACGCCAAATTGTTATGGAATATTTCAATAAAAGCTCGGTAGAAGAGAATGATTTGTCTGATAAAACAGAGTCTTGATGAATGATCAAAGTTGCAAAAAGTCCATTTATTGCTTGCAAGCAGGAGGTCAAATACACAGGCACGTATCACGGTGCTCTGTGGAAATGGCGTCTCCGAGCACTAAAGACGCTGAGTTTTTATACACATGTGAAGAACATTCTCTGTGCCAGTTACGAGAAGCTGCAAAGCAGGTTGAGATAATAACCCAGGTGAAGCTGAGGGCAGCACACACACACACACACAAGATCCTCCTCAGTGGCCGGTGCAAATCATAGTTAATTGACATAAAAGTAAAACTTGAATCCAGAACTTTCGTACAGAATAAGATATCAACCAAGGCCATGAAGAGAAGTCCTTTGTTTTGAAGCCTCTATGAGATCGAGTCAACCATACTCCCTTCTCAGGGCACAGCTGCAAACTAACATTTTTTTAACATGCTGCTCTTTGCACATCAGGGTCAAATACAGGACACTTGAGACACGGCTTTAGCACAAAACAATGTTATAACATATTTTTACCATTACATTTGTTTGACCAAAGAGCTTGAGTGTCTGAAATCACAGTATTTAAGAGTATCTGTTTCAGGGGACCTTTACTCGAAAGATCAGAGGAGAAATGGAGCGAACCTTCATTTACCTCATCAACACTGTGTGGAAGTGTTTCACACACTACTCCTGTTGCCACTGAAGAACGCCGGGGATCTGCTGGAAGGATCTGAATGAGCATCGGCGGTTCTATACAGTGTTTGTCACGGAGCAGCAGCTGCCGCATGAAGCCCCAAATGGCATAATTCCTCTGGTTTTATTGTGCTGAAGAAAACGCCTCATTGTTGGATATAAACTCGTATAATAAAACTAAAAAACAAAGAGCGTAAGCCAGGAATGGAGGTAAATGTTGTTTTTGGGGAACCTCACATTATTTATCAATGAAAAACATTCGCTTAGATTCAATCCGTTTTAGAGGGAAAAACGTTAATTCATATTTTATTTTCACCGAGGCAAACTAAGATGAAGTAGTTTGTGATCACCGTCGGAAGAAGATTAGACACGTTTCAGTCCTGAGTGTCTGTAAGGTTTGTCCCGAGGACTCACCCTGAGGGCGGTTTGGAGGACTCGGTCATCGCAGTGATTCCGATCCGAAGAGATGAACGCGAACCGGGCTGCGTGGTTCCGCTGCTGCTCCTAGACCCGCTGGATGTCCATTATCACCTGCGACGGAAAACACAACAAACTGACATTTATTCTGCTGACGGGGAGGGTTTCTAACAAAAATATACCTCCAAAACAACATTTTGACAAGGACGAAACAACTTTGTATTTTCTATTACCAACAAGTCCAACAGTGCGCAGAGATGACACGAGTCCACGCAAAAAACTAAGACACAATTCTCGATACAATGTTCAGTGTTTTAGGTCCAACTCACTCAAGTGGAACTGTCTCACTGAGTCATTATCTTGGACGGAGTTACTTGTCAAATCCACTTGTTATAATCTTCGCAGTGCCTGCGGCTGACTTTCCCTCCAGCATCGTCACTACAATTTAATCACTGGATCAGACCTCTGTTGTGACTTTTCACAATAAGAGACTTATTTACCTCGAGCAGACTAGTCTGAACACGAAGGACGCACAAACAACTTAATTGTACACCACCGACACATACTACGTAACACAGCTGTGAGACAAATAATTCAACAATATTTATATTCTATAATGTCATGAGTGTAAAATGAATTATGCAACGTGCATAATTACATTAAATTAAATTAAATGCATTTGGGCTGTCTAAAACTTCCTTAACGCCTGTCTTTTATTTTGAAGGCAAAGATTTGTCATTTCCTGTATTTTGCTGCTCTCTCTGTCTAACTTCTATGATCAGTTCAGTTCACCTTCGTCAGCAATTCTCACGTCAGTCATCCTCATTGGCATTCACTGCGCGCCAGCTGGAGAGCGGTGGCCCGAATGGAGATACAGAAACACAGTCGACACAACTACGTTTCAGGGCAGAAACTGTAGTGATTCACTTCGAAGTTAACAGACTTGGAAGTCGTTTTTTCTTGAAATATTATTAGTAATATATATTGCAAACATCATCACGGTCATCACCTTTGCGGTTAGTTTACACAAGCTTTTTAGATAACAGCACACCTTAGTCATGATGTAGGCATTCGTTCATATCTCATGTAAATTCTATGATGAGAATTCAAATATTTTCTCCCAGCGTGCTTTGTGCTTTCGTGCTCATGCAACATCTCCGTGCAAAGCTGATGTATGATTCTCCACCACAAGAGGTCACCTATCGACCACTCTAACCCTTTCCTGCACACCATTCTTCTGCGAATCCTTCTGGTTTGGTGCCCCATATAGGGCTTGTTCATGTCACAATAAGGTCACATATGAATAACAATAAGAAGAATGCCTGTATAACAACAGTAATCAGTATCAATATCACAACACAGACACCTGAAAGTAGTGCCTGTGTTTTTGCTCCAATATGGAAACTATAACAGAATACATTGAACTAATGTTTGAAGCAGTACATTTAGCAAAAGTATTTTCTGGAACATATAACTATCTGATTGATAGTTGGATGGTGTTATGAATACTGACCATGTCTAAAGCTACATAATCATTGCTCTAATTGAATTACATATTTGTCCAAAATATCTATTTGTCCCACCATAATCAGTCAGTAACCGTGTTCTAACTACTTTACTACAGACTTTACTTGTACATGAATCTATCTGTTTTTTGTGTTTGCGCCATTAGGATAAAAATAATTTGATGTAAGTGTTAAAGTGCGAAATGCTTGTTTCCACGAGAGTGACTATGTCGTGATCTGTGGACTCCTGATAAGGATCTTGAAGTCACACTTGGGGACGCACAGCACATGACTTCTGCATTTCTGATTCATTGCCGCTCGTTAATAGGGGAGCACAGACGCTGAGAGGGTTGGTTCTTACATTTACCCACATTCGAGGACGTTGTGGCCATAAAGATCCAGACCAAGAAATAAGGAGCCCAGAGGTGCAGCCACTGACTATTCCTGATAAGACAAGGCGTCACTGAGATATCAGCATGGCAGGTGATTACATTTTGACTGCTGTACTTGTATTGCATGATGTAGCCCATATGTAGATCATTGTAATCTTGTTGTTAAGGAAATATTTGTTCATGATCATTTGTAGTACTGGCATCTTAATACACTGCAGTCAGTTGTACATGCATTTTCCACTCAAACGCAAACATTGTATGAACCTTCCGTTTTTCGTTTTTGTATGTGTTAACATTTGTGATGTTTCCGTTTAGAGGTGTGCTTGAGTTTTAAGAGGTTACATTGATAACATTTCACAAATGTAGTCCATAAGAATGACTGTTGAATACAATATGTATTTGCACAACAAATAACACATTTACTAAGGTAAAAAAAAAGGTATTCACCACTGAAGTAACTTAAAGTCAAAACTTTCGGTCTAAAATTAGACCTAAAGGATTATACGGTAGCTCTGAAGTGCAAAACAGCACGGCAAATAGGAAAAAAACAACGACGAATATGAAACCACAACGGCAAATAAAATAACACAACAACATTAACTTGTTACGGAAAGGGTAGGGCCTATCTAGCAGAGGACGGATCCTTCTGATTGGACAGACGGACTCACTCTCTTCTAACAGGAAATGATACAGGGCTCTCAAGTATCGCGCATTGAGCCTGACAGTCACGCATTTCCGTTCTCTCCGGGTTCTCCGGCTTCCTCCCACAGTCCAAAGACATGCTCTGGGGATCAGGTTAATTGGGGACTTTAAATTGACCGTAGATGTGTGAGTAGATGTGGTTGTATGTCTCTGTGTAGCCCTGCGATTGGCTGGCGACCAATCCAGGGTGTACCCTGTCTATCGCCCAAGGTTGGCTGGGATGGACTCCAGCCCCCCCGCGACCCTGTGTACAGGATAAGCGGTTTGACAATGGATGGATGGATTTACAGTTCAGTGAACAACCAAATAACTCACTGTGAGCTGCCTTCTTTGGACATTCTGTCTACCTCTAAAAAAAGTGAATACAATTCTACATATTCCATCCTTTACCTCCATTAACAGCGAGTGTTTAACTACAACCTCTCGATTTAATGGAGGCTGGATTGAGTCCATCCTAATGTGAAAGGACTCAATCTAAAAAAAGTTAAGATAAGGTGTTGTGTTTTTTTTATCTTTGTCTGCAGATTATGCAGAAAATGTCAGCGATTATTCAGACTATTATGATAAAGACAACACCAACAATAACAGTCCTTGCAGCACCACCGCTCTGATGGATTTTGGCAAGGTCTTTCTGCCCACCTTCTACAGTCTGGTTTTCGTCCTTGGCGTCATAGGTATGAGTGTGTTTGTAAGCGACAAACTTTCTTTACATACACTAAATGATACTCTGGAATACTAAACCATGTGCTCCGCCCCCTCTCAAGGCAATGGTTTAGTGGTGTGCGTCCTGGTGAAGCACCGCCACAAGACCAACTTGACAGACATGTGCCTCTTCAACCTGGCTGTCTCCGACCTCGTCTTTGTCTTCACGTTGCCTTTCTACTCTCACTACTCCGTGGTGGGTGAATGGCCTTTTGGAGACTTCCTCTGCCGCTTCGCCTCTGGCTCACACACCACTGGGTTTTTAAGCAGCATCTTCTTTATGGTTGCCATGACGCTGGACCGCTACATGGTCATCATGCACGCTCACAAGGTGGCACAATATCGCACTTTTAGGGCAGGCATCGCTCTGACCGCCTTTGTTTGGACAATGAGTTTGTGCTTCTCCCTGCCGGCCGTCTTCTTTACGAAGGTGACGAACGAGTCCACCGGAGTTGCCTGCACCTACGAACCAGAAAACGATGCCTGGAGGCTCTATGACATCCTCATGAAGAATGTATTGGGCCTTGGGATTCCACTGTTGGTGATGATAGTTTGCTACTCCAGGATCATCCCCATACTGCTGAACATGAGGAGCACCAAGAAGCACCGCGTTGTCAAGCTGATCATCTCCATAGTGATCGCCTTTTTCATGTTCTGGGCCCCATATAACATTTCCATTCTCTTGGAGTTTCAGAAATTGTCGACTGATTGCAACTCACTCCAAAGTCTTAAGCTGTCGATAATAGTGACCGAGACCATTGCTTATTCTCACTGCTGCCTGAATCCCATCATCTACGCCTTTGTGGGACAGAAGTTTATGAGACGAGTATTGCAGATGTTGAAGAAATGTGGGTCTGGGTTTCTCCCCTCTACAAGAGAAAATAGCTCACACAGGAAAAGCTCAGTTATGTCCAGGTCCTCTGATGCCACCACCAATTTCATCATGTAGGAGGTGGATGGTAGATTATTTTTTATGGACATGGCTTACAGGGTTGACACATTTTGCTCTGCTTAGTGTTGTTATTACTGAGTACAATATTGGCATTGTTCCTACTGTAAGATCTGTTTGGGCTCTTCCATTTTCCACCAACACAGTTTTTAGTCATCAGCATTGTCTAAGCTGAAAACGCTGCATGTATGTGTGTATGTCATCTTTATCTTTTTTTTTTCTTCTATCTTTAGACCGTTGGATTTTTACTTTCATTGTGTTGTGTGTATCATAACTTGTTAAAAGGTTTTTAATGCCCCTCCTTTTCCTGCTTAACAATTGACTGTAAACCATGAACCTTTTGTTTACTATTTTCTCAATTTGGTTTCATGCCTCACATTTTTACCATTTATTAACTTGTTTTTATTATTTCTTGTGTCTTTATTTCGGGAACATAGTTGTCCCAGTTATATTACTTTAATGTCAGCGTTATTTGCAAACAATCTAAAATTAACTCCTGTTTCAGCTTTATGCTTAATCTTTTCTTGTTTGTTTGTTTTATTTTTTTGGTATAGTAGTTTAGAGTTCCATCTCTAAAGAGTATCCAGTTATGATAATGTTGAATTGTGATTTTTCTTCTCGCACGCAACAAATCTAAAGCACAACACAACTTTTTTTTAATTTAATAAAAAAGTTATGCGCCATAATGACTTGACTGTTCACTGCACGTTGTGTCTTCTATAGGAAAGTACTTCCACCATGTTCATTGTTTGTGTAGTAACTAGTAGTAACTTTCTCTTAGTACAGATATAATGAGACATCTATGGGACAGTAGAATTGTCATTTTTCATTTAATATTTAACTGAGAATATGTTTAAAGGGGAATTTGGGATAGTCACAATTTAAACACTCTCTGACCAATAACTACTTTAACAAAGTGTTGACAAAGGGCATTTTTTTCATAATAAAGTAAGCATAATAAAAAATATAGTTAAACTGAGTTATTTATATAGTGAAATGTCTATCCTGATGAGCTGGAAGCCTTTCACAAACCTTTATATCACCTGTGATGTGTTTTTACAAGAAATAGACAAAGCTCCTGACTAGAATACATGTTACTCTTTCATGCTGCATGTTAACACAGAGGGAAGAGTTCTCAGAAAAGCACGCTGACACCTTTGTGCAGAGGAAGCAGCAAAACCAAGAGTTCGTCGTAGCAGAAATGAGCCGTGCAACAGGATTTGACTGAAAAAAGTTAGCTCTGCAAGTTGACAGGATGACACGTAAGTTTGATGGTTGGCAAGGCAGCAAACATACTCGGGAGCAGTGACTGTGGCAGACAACGTGGTAAGCACAAGAACATTTACACTTTTACACGTTTAGCTGCCTTTTATCAGACTTCCTTCACCTCTCTCACCTCCATTAACACTGTGTGTAGTAGATGATTATGTGTGCAGGGGTCTGTGTGTGTGCGTTGGTAAACAGACAGGAAGTGAGGGTCGGCAGGGTTGTCAAAGCAAGTGGTTCCGTTTGTGTCAATGAGGAGATGTGGTTGAGCGATGACATGAATGTGATTATGGTCTGCGAAGGAGAAATGTGTGGTATTCACAGACAAATCTAAACATTAGATGCTTGTACCTCTGACAGGAATTCAGAAGGAGGACGCCAAGTCAATAATGTTTATGTTGTGTAAAATCCAAAACAATCTCTGTGACTTCAGTTTTCGTTTTGAATATCAGGGTTTCAACCTAAAAGGGCAGGAAAGTCCAGGTACATCAGGAAACATGTTACTTTTGTTTCTTGAAAATCTGTGAGTTGAAGCAAAACTTCAGAGGAAACAAAGTGAAGTAAATAGAATCAGGAGTAAATCAATCTCATTGTGGAAATTGCAAGTAAAACTCTTTTCTCTGATTTAATACCTTTCCTTTCATAACATGTTCACTCAACTTAATGTCTCATGTTCTTTTCCTCCTCACACAGCATCATGAACATATCAGAGAACGAGTCCTATCTGGATTATGATTACAATGACACCTGCGATGAGGTTCAAGGTCCAGAAATGCGGATCCACGGCCTTTCTGGTTCTTTACTACCTGCTGTTTTTCTTCAGTCTGCTGGGTATGTTGAAAAAGAGAATCACCCTCTTTCCATATTTAAATGCACATTTTTATTTGAGGTGTTCAGGAGATTTCAAAGAATCACAATTGTATTCTTTTTTTATAAGAACCTATGGCCTCTTTGCCAGATGTGACTAATGGCTACTCGCCTGCTCAAAGCATTGCGCGTATCGTCCAGTCAGTGGCTTATTTGGAAAAATACCAATATAGAGGAAACCCGCTCCTTGTAACAACTAAAGATTTAAATAATTTCACAGGCAACATCACGGTACTCTGGGTTCTGCTCCGGTACATAAAGCTGAGGACTATGACGGACGTATGCCTCCTCAACTTGGCCGTGTCTGACCTCATGCAGGCCACGACCCTGCCCCTCTGGACCTGCAATGACACAAACCTTGCGTCATGCAAATTGATGACTGGAGGCTACCAGTTGGGACTTCATCCATTTTCTTTAAAAGATACATTTATCTGCATTTCTATACAATGATAAATCAATCGTAATATAAAACTGAACCAACTCAAAGAGGTGCAATATTAACTTTATTATTCATTTATTAGGAGTTTTTTAATGATAGGAGAGATTTTCTGTCAGTCAACCTGGACACCTGTGAGGCTTTGTCGGGATCCCCCCGAGTTGATTGATGAGAAGTATCCAGCACGTTGATCAATTACAGTCAAAAAGTTAACATTTATTTAGAAGAGAAAAAGATTACATGAGCAATTCTCCGCAGATATCTGGCTCTAACTATTGCTTGAAAGCAGGATGTCAAACACACAAGCACGTATGTCAGCGTTATGTGTAATGGCGTCTCCGAGCAGTAAAAACGCTGAGTCTTTATACACATGTGAAGGCCAGTGCCGGGTACGAGAAGCTGCAAATCAGGTTGAGATAAGAACCCAGGTGAAGATGAGGGTAGCACACACACACAGCTCAAGATCATCCTCAGTGGCCGGTGCAAATCATAATTAATTGACCAGAAACGTGGATCCGAGAACTTTCTTACCAAATAAGATATGAACCAAGGCCATGAACAGTCCTTTGTATTAAGTCGACCGCCCTCCCTTCTCAGGACACAGCTGCAAACTATTTTGTATCATGCTGCTCTTTGCACGTCAGGGTCAAATACGGACACTTACACGGGTTTAGCACAAGACAATGTTATAACATATTTTACCATTACATGCATCTCACAATTCCCCCTTTTGACCTCTTCAGAGATCACCCCAGCTGTTGGAGGACGTCTGCTCGATCAGCCTCCTCACCTGAGTTCTCGCCTCCTTTCCAGGCCAATAATGGCATTTTTGCTTAACTAATGTGGAGAATTGAGAAAGATAGAACAGAGGAGAGGATACACTTATTCTTGGTCTTGTTTTACTTCCTGTTGTTGTTGACAGTCGACACTAGGGGTGTAACGATTAATTTTAACAACGATTCGATTCGAATCGCGATTCATGGTTGCCGATTCGATTCATGGACGATCTGGGTTAATTTTGAACGATTCCATTCGATTCGATTCAGTAACTTGAAATCGATTCAGTAACTTTACTGGGCAGTGCAGGCAAAGTTTCCGAGATCCCTGTTGTTTCTTGTAAGGAAATCAGGTTTAAATTAATTCTGGATATTATAAACAAGCAAACAACAATTAATGGCAAATGTATTAAGCTTTTATTTGAATCAAGTGCAACCATTTTCAATGTAAACATTACACAATAATTACACAATGTTTTGATCAATTCACAGAACCCCGGATTTTCAACCACATTGTAGGGTCGCATCTCTTTACAGATAAAGCAATTGGTACTGTGATGTTTTTCGCCTGCGCTGAGTTTCAGCCAGGTTTCTGACAAAAAATGCTGGCGAGGCCTGAGGTGTCTGCAGAGCTGGAGTTGCCTGCTACTGCAGCGGTAACGCTGCTAGTGGTCCTGGACTGTCAGCATTTTGTTTAATCCCATGGCACCTTAGTAGATGGTTGGAAAGATTTGTCGTGTTTCCGTGTTTTTTTATTTGTCTTCTACATATTCTACAAACAGCGCCCGACTTATTTAGAACACCTCCGTGTTTGCAAAAGCCAAAATGTTTCCACACGCTGGATCGATAAGTTGGTTTGTAAATGTCTTGCTCGCAGTTGTCTCCTGCACGCTGAGTTTCGCGCGGCTGCCGCTGCGTACTGATGACGTCACAGACAGGCAGACTGAATCGAGTAACGTTTAACGTGTCTAAAGTGCTAAAAAACCAACAAACAAACATCCATACAGTTTTTGTGCTTAAATCCAATGTGCAGTTTCCAAGTATCGATACAAATCGATGATGTACCATTTCAATCGATTTGTAATTGATATATGTTGTCCGGAATGCCGATTTGCTGAGCACAGATCGATTCATTGGATCGCAGGAATATAAATTGATTAATCGATTACACCACTAGTCGACACAGATCGTCCCTGCTCTGGGTGTCTGTCAGTCAACTGCTCGTTGAGAGTGCGTTTGGGGACCCTCCTGAACCTTCAGGACGTCCTGGAGAGTGCGAGCTGGTTCCTCTGCGGTGGCGCACTGGCTCCAGTGGTACCAGGTATCACCTTTCCCTCTCAACCTCACTGCATGTGAGGTTCTCTCCTCCACCTGGTATGGTCCTGTCCACCGTGGCTCCGACCACTTTCTCTTAATGCCCCCCAGGAGGACCCAGGCGGCTGTGTCGGGGTTGTGGGCGTTCTGATCTCCTGTTTTGTCTCGCACCTGGTCTGCAAAAACTGAAACGAGAGCTCGTAGATCATTATACGGCATGCATACTCACCTGGCGGAGCTTCCGGGTTGGGCCTGAGCTTCAGGCTGGCACTGGGTCCAGGGAACTGTCGGTGGTCAGTTCGTACGGGGTGAAACCTGTACCCTGATTTACTGATCTTCTAATGGCCATTAACGCGAGTGGGAGGGCTTGAACCCAGGTTAAATTTGTCTGTGCACAGATTTTAGCCAATTTTTGCTTCCTGATTTTCAAAGTGGGTGCCATTATCTGACCTGATCTTTCCTGGAAACCCGTGTCTTGATATGTAATGGTTCACTAGACATTTGATCACTGATTTGCCATCCTGCTTTTTTCGTGGGCCACGCCTCTGGCCAGCCGGTCAGGGCGTCCATGCATACTAGGAAATAGCTTTTTCCTTTGTGTCGTGTGATCCTGTCAGTACAGTCAATGACTATTTCCTGTCCTGGCACCAATGTCAACGGAAACACCCCCATTTCTGGCTTAACTGTAGGTTTCAAATTAAACATGATGTAGGTTTTACATGTTTTAACAAAGTGACGTGTCATGTCCGCTAAAAACAGATGCTGACTGATTTCCCTGAATTCTTTCTGCTTCCAAAACCTCTGTCCCTGCCCCATGGCTTCTTACTACCGCGTATCTCGACTGTAACCCTTTTTGTCAATGTCTACAGCAGCTGCCATCAGTGAACAATTGCCAATCAGACTGTGTCAGTGGTGTGCCTTTTAAGTCTGTTTGCAATTTCGCTTCCAGTCCCACCTTGTATTCCCACTGGTGTGGTTCTCCCTTTACCATGTGATCAGCCATGTTGATTCCTTCCTGTGTGAAGGT